GGAGCCGTCTTTGCAACGACTGAGATGGCGGTAGCAGATGGTTGTTGGAGTGTGGCTGTCATGTGTCAGATCCCTGGTCAGTCAGACGCGCCGCCTCAAAGTACAAACTTCTTTGGTGTCAGGTACGGTCGTTCAGTCATGCGACCTGGAGGCGAGGTACCGGAGTGGTGCACGAGATAAAGTCTTGAGCTCGGACAGGAGCGTGGCCCGGACTTACCCGAGGTGGATTAGTCCGGGCTTTGCCTTTCGTGGTGTTCCTTGCAGGGCTCGGGATTTCTAAGGAAAGCTCGGGTTCTACCTCCCGGGAAGCGCGGGTTCTCTTTTGGAGAGCTCGGGGCCTCTCCTTGGGCTATGGCTATGTCACTGTGCCGAGCTGATGCTCTTGTCAGGTCATACCCAATTGCCTCCACGTGTCGCACGGCCAAGGGGTCGGGCCAAATCTCCCTCCATCAGCTTAGTTAAGGCAAAAGTTAAAAAGGAATTTGGAATACAACTCAGAAAGCTTACCAACTCAGCTTTAGGTGCCAGAACCATGAGGGTATAAAATGGCAAAACGGCAAATGTTCCCATAGAGAGGAGAAAAAAAGAAAGGAAGAATAATGGCCGCGGGGGGCGCTATGCACCGTCGCTGTTCGAGAGCTTGAAAAAGATGAATAGTGGCGGTGAACGATAGTTTAGTGAAACAAAAAACATTAAGTCATCAGTCTTTGAGTTAAATGCATATCAGTGCTTATCAGTCTTCGAAAGAAAACTGGGAAGGGCATTTTTTATACAGTTATTGCTGGATAAAAAAATTAAATGACACTTGAAAAGTATTTGTATCTTTTCCATTATACTTAAAGGCTAGTTAACCATCACGTTAATTAGCACTCAGCCTGAAGTTCAGGTACCAATCAGAAATTTAAAAAAAAAATGCAGATCATTTGTTTAGTATTGTCGAAAGATTATTCTATATCCGCCACAGCGTACTAGACTGCTATTCACTGTGTTGCAAATAAAATTACATAGGTATTTGCTTGTAATTTACTATTCGGAGCCCCGGACTGCTGCACATCGGAAATATCTCCTGTATATGTTAAATTGATGAAAATGTGCGGATTTCGTGATTTGAGACTGCAAAATTATTGCAACAGGAATCTCATCACTTATTACATTCATCTTTCCTAAATTTCAGAATTTATAACCTCTCTATATCTCTCTCTAAAAAAGAACTATTAATTAATTAAATGAAATACAGCTTTTATCACTTACCGTTTCCGATGCTCACACCGTCCCAATAGTCTTGCATAGAGAATATCTCTTATCAAATAAATCACATAACTACGGAGATATTCCTGATATAAGGCTGCTCGAATGGGCGATGCCTGGAGGAAGACTCTGACTGAGAATCATCGGAAGGGACAGGGTTGTGTCCGAACTACGAAAGAAGAAAAAACTAGAAAAAGAGAGGAGAAAGAGTGCGTGTGGGAGTGCGCGCGCGCGAACAGTTACAGAGAACAAGAGATGGTGGTGGCCTACTACCTACTAGCCTGGTGGGGGAGTGGAGTGGAGTGGGGAGTGCTATTTGACGGACTCTTTAATCAAGAAAGAAAGAAAGAAGAACGCGTTGGAGAATTGTCCTGCAGGCGAATACATCCAAGCATTAGCCTAGAATAATAATAAAATCGATTCTATTTAAGTTTACCACCTTCACTGTCACTTACACAGGTGCCCCTCTCTCTCATTCAAAATTTCTTTAATAAAATAATCTGTTTGGACTCTACAGATAAAATTATCTGTTTGGCTGAGTCAGAATCTCTCTCTCTCTGCAGTAGTGAACCAGTGATACCGAATATCATCATTCGACACGGAAATGCGATTATTCTTGCTCCTACACTGCATCTCTATTCCGCTTTCTCTGCCTTCATTTGCTTCTGTAAGTCTCTCTATTTCTACTTCCATTTCCTTGGCCCTTTACCCTTATTTTTCTTTCTTCATTTTACTTTCAAGTTGGAGGTTTGATTCGGAGATAGATATCTTTGCTTCATTGCTTCTGTCCCTCATTGCAGTAAGTTGTAGCTTGTAAAAGTCTATTGCATTGTAGTCGTTAGTCGATTTTTCAGTGGTTTCAGCTTCCCACCCTCTGGTTTCTCGATCTCATAGACATTCTCACTTACCTCCACTGTTTATTTATTTTTAACAACTGTATTATCCGGTGCATTTCCTTCTTTTGTAATCCTTGTATGTTGATGACCCACTTTTTTTCCTAAGAATTTCTGTGTGGAAATGTGCTCATAATCTGAGGAATTGGTTCATGGTTTCAGTATTAGAAGGGGGAGGAAAATGGAGAAAAGAGAGGTGGCCGGACCCAAAGGGGTTGCCTATATACTCTCTGGCGAGGGCACCAGATCATGCCACTGTTGGCCGGAGACAGAATTCCGGCAACCGAAGGTAAAGAAATCTGCTGGTTGCAGAGGGAGGGAGAGGAGGGAGAAAGGAAACAGAAGAATGGTGAGAGAAGAAATGGGCCAGACGGCCAGCATAGGAGTAATGGATCAAGAGGTCCAAAAATGTCCCCAAAATAGGCATGGAGAATTCGATACCCCTATTTATAGAGTTTGGGTGGGCTGGAATATGGAAGTTTTCTTAATCTAGATCATTCTTAATTTTTTTTTTCCAATTTTGCCTCTTCATTGGAATGGAATGTTCTTCATTCCATTTAATGCACATGTTTATTTACCTTTATAGAATAATCACAGCTTAACTGGATGCTTTTCTCTTCTAGAATGTCCATTATTTAATTAAAACACATGCCGATTTATTAATGTGCTGAAATGTTAAGCACTTAAACCTTTTAATTAATTTGTGTTAAAGTGAACCAGTCTGACCTGGGTTCAGACCTGAGTCAGCTGGGCCTATGTACTTGTACAGCGCCACCATCTTACACCAGGATGTGTAATTTTTGTTGCTTTAAGAAAAAGATAGAAAAGAGCAAGTAAGAGAAGAGAATGAACGGAAAATACTCTTTCCATCTCTTAAGGATTTCAATTAAAATTTCCCTGAAGCTTCTCTTCTTTTTCTTGGCGGGGTTATTGAATCTTAAAATTAGCCAAATTGTGGTGTATTCTATCCTTCATTTATATCAAGTGCATGTTCATACTGCTAGAGTTTTAGTTCTTATAAAGCTTCTCTTCTTTATAAGTTTATTCTTTTTTGCCATCCTCTAGTAGTCTCTGCTCTAACATCATCTTACACGTTGTTCACTTTCTAACTGAAAAATAAGTTCATGTCTCCTGAAAGAATTTTAATTCTTCCTCTTAATACAAACACTCAATTGCGGATTATATATCATATTCTCATTTCCCTACAATTTTGCACAATATGCCATTGGATTTTGCTTTCTGGACTTAGGCTTCATGATGGAGGGTGTCTACACAATTTAACGCTGCATACCCACTTGGAGGTATACCAAAACTTTCTTCAACCATGCTTCTAGGATTGAGGACAAAGAACAGAAAAGGCACTTCAGTTCAGGTGGATTATTTCATACATATACAGGAAATCGAACCTTGGCCTCCATCACAGTCTCTCAGATCCCTTCGGTCTGTATTACTTCAATGGGAAAATGGTGACCGGAATTCTGGGTCTACCAAGCCTGTAATCCCCTCACTGGGGTCTGGTGTTGGGGATGGGAAAATTGAGTTCAATGAGTCTTTCAGGCTTCCTGTTACTCTTTCCCGGGAGGTCCCCATAAAAAGTGGGGATGTTGAATCATTTCAGAAGAACTGCTTGGAATTCACCTTGTATGAGCCTCGGAGGGATAAGACAGTGAAAGGTCTGCTCTTGGGAACTGTCATGATAGACCTAGCAGAGTATGGGATTGTTCAAGAAACTATATGCATAAGTGCTCCAATGAACTGTAAGAGAAACTTTAGGAACACAGCTCAACCAGCTCTATTTGTTAAAATCCAGCCATTTGAAAAAAATTGCTCCAGTTCCTTACAGAGGGAGCGGTTGTCAAAAGTAGTGCCGCGAGACAAAGATGGGAAGGACTCAGTTTCTGTTTTGATGACTGAAGAATATGCCGAGGAAGCTGAAACTGCGTCCTTCACTGATGATGATGTTTCATCTCATTCTTCCTTGACCATTTCCTCATCTGTTTTTGAGGCATCTGGAAGTTCTCCAGCCCAGAATAAGGAGGTATTCTTACTTCTAATGCCTTTTGGTCCTTATTTTTTTATTTATCTACTCCCTTAAAAATTGTTGCAGTTCAGCCTTTTTCTGTGGAATATGCATGAGAACTATAACAGGATAGGTTCTCAACTTGCTCCTCAATGCTATTTGTAATTCTGGTCTTATTCCATGAGCCATAGGCTTTCTTTGAGACACACACATGCCCATGTACTTATCTGCTTCATAGCTGTCATGATTACATGATTTACGATTTGAATTGTGAAATCCAAAGCCCTTTTCTGAGGAAACCTTACAATTACTGTTTGAATTTTATGATTTGATTTGTGAATCTTATAGTTCATATGATCCATGTCATTCAAACTAATTCCTAAGCTCTTTTCTGATGCATGCAATTGCAGAATGCATCAGAAGCAGTGAGGAATGGAGCAGGAAGTCAGGATGGGGTATCTGCTATATCTCTGGAAAAGGTTCCTGAAAGATCAGAGGTAAGAGCAGTGACTACACCATACAAACATTTGAATAGGAGCTCATCTCATTCATCACCAGTAGACTTATCCTCTGAAGTGGGGAGCCCAGAAGATGACCATTCTTCCTTGACCAACTTCTGGCAGAGAAGTTCAGAACAAATCACCAAGGTACCTGTCACTGATAGTGTTGAAGCTTCTTCAGCTGTTAAAGGAAGTAGAAAAAGTGAGGATAATGCTCAACAATCCATTAAAAAAGATAATACAGATGGTGTTTCCACCAGAGGTGCACCTTCAAATCCAAATTTGCAGATGGATGGGATAGCTGGACTTGTAAGTACTACTGACTCTCAAATCAATGACAGGGATTATGGAGAAAGTAGGGAACAGATTGGGAATGGGGAAGAAGGTGCTTCAACAAATAATGGTCGACCTGCCAGTCATATGGAGGAGAAAGATGAAGAGCAATTGGGAAAAAATAGACAAGAAAAAAAAGCAGGAGAAAAAATTCATTCTAAAGAAGATAAGTCTTCCAAAATATCTTCACAAGATGCTATGAGGAAGCAAGTGGCATTTGGGACCAGTCCAATTGCTTTTGACAGCAGAGATCTTGGAGTGAGGGATAATTCTCTTACCGTCAGTCGATTAAAGCATGTGAAGTCTGTCCGGTCACCAGTAGACACATCCAGGAACAATGAATTGCTATATGGAAATCAGTTAACAGAAGTAAAAGAAGTTGATGTTTCAGAAGATATTGTTAGTAGTTCTAGGAGTTCTATAACAGCAGAAAGCAATGATGCTCAGGATGCTTGTACAGTGAAACTGAACTGCCACTATAATGTCAAAGTGCAACAACTGGAGCATAGAGTTGAGAGCCTTGAAAGAGAGTTGAGAGAAGCTGCTGCAGTTGAGGTGGGGCTTTATTCTGTTGTAGCTGAGCATGGTAGTTCTGCAAATAAGGTCCATGCTCCTGCTCGGCGTCTTTCTAGGCTATACCATCATGCTTGCAGAAAGCAGTCCCCAGGACATAGGGCAACTGCAGCTAGAAGTGCTGTTTCAGGATTAGTTTTGGTAGCAAAAGCATGTGGAAATGATATTCCCAGGTTTGTACAATAAGTAAACAATCTTTACTGGTTCGCTGATTTAAACTATCCAATCTATCAAGTTACCTTCTGATAGATTGGAATTTATATGATGCAATCCTATTAAAAACTGTTAAACAATCCTCATAACAATTTAACTGATTAGATAGTGAGATCTTCTAATTGACATGAATATAGGGAATTCATGCCTTTGCCCAGACTTTATGAATGTAAATCTTGAACTTGTTTGCAGAGTCTGCAACTCTCTTTAACTGTTTGATACAGTTAAAGAGAGTTGATTATTTCCTCTCACGCTCCACCTGATTGTGCTTTCCTTTGAATGCAGGTTAACTTTTTGGTTGTCAAATTCAGTTGTTTTAAGGGAAATTATTAGCCAGGTTGTTGGGGAATCTCAACTATCAATTTGTGCTGGCCCCCAAATTGAAGCTAATGGTGGCAAAATGGGAAACGAAAAGAAATATTCCCCATTAAAATGGAATGAAAGTTCTCTGAACAAGAAAGAGAAGTTTGTTTTTTCTAATGATTTTGATGAATGGGAGGATCCGCAGACATTTGTAACTGCACTGGAAAAGGTTGAAGCCTGGATTTTCTCCCGAATAATTGAATCTGTGTGGTGGCAGGTCAATTCCAAGTGTTTTCCACCTATCCCCTAATTTAACGTTTCAGATTTTTCTAGATTAAACATCCTGAATTACTGCTAGCTTTCTGACATGGCTTTCTGTTTGTTTCTCCAGACTCTAACGCCATATATGCAGTCTGCCACCAGGATAGGAAATGATAAAGTAATGGTGTCAAACTCAGGGAGTTTGGGTGACCAAGAACAGGGGAACTTTTCTTTACACCTTTGGAAAGAAGCTTTCAGGGATGCTTGTGAAAAGCTTTGCCCTGTTCGAGCTGGAGGCCATGAGTGTGGTTGTTTGCCTGTGCTGGCTAGACTGGTAGTCTATATTTTCATTATCTGTTACTAATGTACTTGCACCAATCAAGTGCCCCAGCTGCCATTTGTATATTGGCTAGAGGACATAGGGAATATCTATCTGTATTTTTGTGGCAACAAAATGCATAGACAAGTGTCTATGCACTTATGATTATGAGTAAACTAGCTGGTGGAAATTATAACAGAGTGGTGGATGTGCACCTATTGCATGTCTGTAAGACCAACAGAAAGTCCCTACATAAAGCCTGAAATTGTTTCTTGAGAAAAAATTGTTCCTTCCAGTGCTATGTACCATTAACATAATCTTCATACAAATGGTATGATAATGCAATATAGTTATTACCAACTATACACATGATATGCATAAAGTGCTCTCTGCCTGCCCTGCCCCAACCTAGAAAATTTTCCTTCTCAAAAATTGACTTGACTAGAATTCTCATAAATGTATATTTTGCTCAACTGTGGTGCTTTTTTTATTTGATTTCTTTTGAAGGCTACACAACGGGGGGGTAGACCATCCCCACTACTTCTTAAGAATCAGGTTGTAATTGGCCTTTATTATCCGGTGCTAATCTGGGTGTATAAGCATTAACCATTGTATGGATTGAACATTGCATGGATGCTGTTAAGTGATAGTTTAAGCATGGACCCTTTTACATGTAGAGTGAACATGGAATTCCTTTATATGTAGCCCCTTTTTTTATATGTTTCTAGAGTTCACTTCCTATATCATACTCAGGTATCAGTCTTTCTGCAATGATATTCTAGTAGCTGTTCTCCTTTGTCCTATCGATAAATAGTCAGGTCTAAGTTCTAAATATGACATGGCAATCTTTTTTTCTCGATATTCAGGTGATGGAGCAATGCATGAATAGATTAGATGTGGCCTTGTTTAATGCTATTCTTCGTGAATCAGCTGATGAGATTCCAACAGATCCTGTCTCTGACCCTATTAGTGATTCCAAAGTTCTTCCTATCCCAGCTGGAAAATCAAGCTTTGGTAATGGTGCGCAACTGAAAAATGCTGTAAGTAATTCACATGTTGCACAAGTTCATGTTCTATGAATGGACATTACATGTTCTTGCTTATATAGACTAGATTCACAAGACACCTTCTATGCATTCATGGTATTTCTTCTACCTATATGCGGTGGCTGTTGGGTTATTTTACTTGCATACATGAATCCGCAAATAGTTGCCCTGAGAAAACACCAGGTATTAACCTAAGACCCAGAATAAAAGGTCCACCTTAAAAATAAAAATATCTATTATGCCTTTATGAATTCATTGCCATACTCAAATTGTCGAACATAATAGATAAGAAAGTTATGATCATTCGATTGGAATTCCTTTCATTGTTATACTCAGTATTTTCTTTTTTTTCCCCTTTTAAGGCACCTTTGGCTATCCTTGAACCACTAAATAATGTTGAAACTCGAGGAGTAAAACAAACAAGTGTTCCTCAGTTGTGAAATCAAAAAGATAACAGCTGACGCTTGATGGATTGTCTTTTTTCTTTTTCTCTTGAATATCAGATTGGAAACTGGTCAAGATGCCTAATTGATCTATTCGGCATGGATGAAGATGGCTCATTCAAAGATGAGAATGGACTCTATGATGAAGATAGACAGGAGCCTGAAACATCATTCAAGACTTTTCATTTGCTTAATGCATTGAGTGATCTTATGATGCTTCCAAAGGACATGATTTTGAATAGGGCCATCAGGAAAGAGGTTCACCTGCAAAACTCCCTTTTACTTGATTAATGAAAGTCCTTTCCAAGTATTTATTCATTTATTTAGTTATTTTTGTTATTCAACTTCATTTCTGTTTTGGAAGGTATGCCCTACACTTAGTGTGCCATTGATCAGGAGGGTCCTTAGCAATTTTGTCCCAGATGAGTTTTGTTCAGATCCAGTTCCGGAGTTTGTGCTTGAGACCCTGAGTTCTGAGGTTAGGCTGCCAAAAATTCTCCCCTTATTTTTCTGCTTGGTTTTATAATTTATATGCAGTGTTGCATGTTTTCTTAAACAAACAGAAAAATAGGGAATTTTAAGAAAAAGGAGGAGACCACTTCTGTCCTCCTAAAACAGAATCTGTTCTTTTCTTTTGTATCGATTCTCACACAGAAGATCAGATATTGCATTTTAGTTTACCTTGATATGTGAGTATTCTTTACAGGACCCTGTTGAGGCTGAGGAAGAGTCTCTGAGGACCTTCCCATGCAATGCAGCACCTATTGTGTATAAACCACCTACAACAGCTACCATTGTAGGTGTTGTAGGAGACGTCGAGAGCCAATTACAGTTACGACGGAGTGGTTCCTCAATGCTCCGGAAATCTTACACCAGTGATGACGAGCTTGATGAGTTGGATTCATCCCTAGTTTCAATAATCACAGATGGCTTATGGGCCAGGGCTTCTTCTACGAGAGTTCCCAGTTGGAATTTGAAGGAAAATGGCGGCCAGAAAGCTCAAAGATATGAGCTCCTCCGCGAGGTATGGAGGGATGGTGATTAGCTACTACTTATACAAAAATATGTATCATGAGTCAGAAATATATAAATTAATGCGTAGTTATCTTTTTTGCTTCATACTTGGAAATCTTGATTCCCCATTTTGAGTTAAAGAGACGGAAGTGATTATATGTGGGCATAAGGCAGGTCAAAACGAGGGTGCCTTAAATCAGAAGATTCAGAACTGCAACAAAGTCTCTTTGTATCCATTGCCATGCGTCCTATGTATGATGATCTACACCCATTGGGCAGTGATGCTCGTGATGCCCACTGGCATAGTGCAAGGCGGAGAGCAACCTCCCCCGGTTCCCACTCACCCCTCTCCCCAATCCCCATAGCAAAACCAACTGATGCTGCTACCTGCAGCCTGCAAGTTCCATATCATTGGACCTTTTATCGTAGGATGCGCATTTGGAAACGATGCAAATGGAGTGTAATCCCAGTTCAGGGTAAATTCACACTCTGGTTCACTTTTGCCTATGTTTGGTAACATTACATTTATGTATTGACAAATACAGACCAATGCATATTTACATTGATAATAAGATGTAAAAGTACATCAATAAAAAAGAAGTAAATTTGCATTCAAGTGGGCTTTTGATAAAAAAAGCATATGATTTATTGGAATTCATATTTGCAACTATTACATCTAAAAGTCTATTTGGTAAGAAGGTGAATTTGTTGGTGCAAAACTAACCCAATTTTGCAATTTATATGAATCGTTTTACACTCTACATATTTACATTCACACTTATTTGCATCATTTTCAAACACAGCCTTAGTCTTGAGTTTTTCGGCACATGCCCGGAAACCTCAAAACTTACTTCACTCATCATCCTATTTTTCAAGTTCTTGGGAGTCATTCTTGTCTTGTCCTTAACTTATTGACAACAAAAGTCCAATGTTAAGGTAGGTAGTGATCTTTGTTTTCGAATACAAAAACTAATTACAACGCCAAAAAACCACCTAAAGATAGTGAAGAGAACTTTTTGAATTAATTTCCCTCATTTCAAAAGCTATTCCCTAGTCCCCACTAGTCTTAAATCCTTTGAATTAAAATTCACAATCAATCAACTAATATCATAAAAGAGGTGATCAATCAGACGGTATATAGTATTAGATCAACTCTTGTAGAATTCTATGTTGTTCTAAATTCAAATAGGCAAATGATTAATTAAATGAAATAGATATGCAAATATAAATAAAAAATTATATTTTTAACTTTATAAAAAAGTACACAAATGAGGAAAGCTAAGGGCCCGTTTGGTGTGTCTTTTTGGGAAGATCTTCTAGTAATTTTGACAGTCAAAAGACGCATTAAGCTTTTGCATGAAGATCTGAGTAGCCCGAAGTTAGTTTGGCAGTATCACATCTTTCTATGCGTCTTTTCATGTCTTTTCGCATGAGAATAAAACGCAAAAGATGTGAAAAGCTTCATTTGGAGCTTCCCGAAATCAGCCCAAAATGGGCTTTTTGTGTCTTTCCGGTGCTCTGGCTTTTAACGGCTAGGTCTTCCATGAACCAAACGGGAATAGACCGAAAATTCATTCACTCGGCTTGTAAACTACCGAAAGACCACACAAAAAGACATGCCAAACGAGCCCTAAATCTAATGCTTTGTTTGGGAGTGCTTAAAAATAAATTTTTATTCAAAATAAGTGCTTATTTGGGATATTAGCACTTATTGGTATTTGGGAAATAAGCCTGAAATAAGTGCTTATTTTTTAAGTCCAAATTTTCAATTTTTTAAGTGCTTATACAATAAGCACTTATTTAATTTTTTTCTTCCAAAATTATCCTTAGTTGAATTTTAAAATACCACTTATAAAATTATGCCTAGTTGAATTTTATGGAAGTACTCTCACCAAAGTGATTTGCTTTCACAAAAGTGCTTTTATAAAAGTGCTTTCGTAAAAGTATTTTTATAAAATTGCTTTTACAAAAGTGTTTTTATAAAAGTAATTTAATAAAAGTGCTTTCGTAAGGGTATATTTTAAAAATTTGAAAGAAAATGAAGGACAGAGTAGTCATAAATGCTTATTGGAGAAAAAGATTACCAAACATGCCTAATGCAAATAAGTGCGTATTCGAATAAGCACTTGTTTTGAAGCACTTATTTTTAACTTAAGCACCCACAAACATAGTCTAAGTCTAACATTGTTTTTTGTTTTTTTTTTTTTTCTTACAAAATTATTGGACGTGTGACCTGACTATGTTCACCAGTTGTACATTAGGTTCAGTTTGGAAGGAGTAGAAATATAAATATATAGAGTGCAAAACCTTATATTTTATATGTTTTTACACTATACATATTTGCATTTGTACTCCAAACTAAGTATTAAGAATATCAATTATATTTTACATCGCTGATATTCCCGATGTGCAGTTGGATGAACGTTGCCAGTAATATGTTGTGGTCAGCAGATCCAGATTCGTTGGTAAGGGTAGAAGTTTGAATATAAAAATGACCCGATCGGCACAAGAAAAAATGTTGTTTCACATTCTTTGATTGTAAGCAAAAATTTCGAAGTGACTGTATGTTGATACTGTTGTTATCACCTTTTTAATGAATGCCCTTTATCCAAAAAATATAAAAAAATGCCTGCTATATTGCTTAGTAAATTTGTATGAAATTAAAATGCCGTGGGAAACAGTAAAAAACAAACCTTCATCTCTCAAATGAAATAATATATGGAAAATTTCATCTCAAATCAAAATATAACAGAAAAAGCTTTAGCCTTTTCAACTCAAAGAGACCAGTTTCTCTTTATATCTCATCTCGCCAGAACTAAATTACAAGCTTGCAAACTCAAAATTAAGTCGCGCTCACTGTGGGAGGATCCTCAGCATACAAAATCTACGAATTCGCATAGAAATATTTGACAGAGAAATCCAACTCTACATTTCTCACTTTGCTTATATTTACTACAACAATAAACCTATAATGGTACGGGACTGTTGGAGTCAAAACTGATTTGAATCATACTGTCAATTTGTATGAAGAGTGGCTTGCATTGATGTGCTTGAGATGTAATGCGGCCAAAAGCCCTTGCCACGTTTCCCCAGGTCCATTAGCAACCTCAAAATCAAGAAGCTTCTTCTGTTTCCTGTAGTAATCTTCCAATGGCTTGCTCTGGAGGAAAGATCATTTTCCAGTTAGAAATATTAACCCAGAAGTTCAGCTCATAATTTAAGAAGATGATCATGAAGACAAGAATTTCAGCTTCTTTTTCTCCCTCCCCTTTAGTTTTGGTGTAAAGATAGCAGGAAAATGCAAGGAAAAGCTTGAAGCCTTGAACCATACTAATCCTTCCATTTTAGTTCTTCCTTATTCAAAAAAGTGAAGGATATGAATACAGAAAATGGAAACAGGAAGAAACTATTAGCTGAAAACCCATTACCATTACCATTTGTCATCAAACTTGATAGCCTGAACAAGAATGTAAAATACCTGTTCTGCATGGATCCGGAGTTTTTCTTTCCGGACATCTTCTGTATCAGGGGAGGATGGTTTCAGTATACTTGTTGACCCCAAACCGCTCTCATGAAGGGAGGATTCTCGACAGTGAGAACAGATTCCACTTCCCAGGTGCTTTTTAACCAGGCAATCCTCTGAGCATTTGAAATTCACCACCAGGTCGATATCAGCAATTTGATCAAGGATCTCCTGTGAAGTATTTAAGAAGCCATGGTGGAACATCCCCCAGACATAAAACATGTCAATTATCATGATCGTGCAATTAAAAGTGAAATTTATATATGCTTGGAAAGAAACAACCAATCCAGCATGAGAATTTAAATTAAACACAAGCTTACGAAGAATTTGACTGAAAGAGAGAGGGTTACAACTTACAGCTTGAATTCGGGTTCGAGGAATGCCATCGAGAATGAATCCGGTTTCACCTCTGTAATATCCTTCTTCCAGCCTCTTTGACAAAAGCCCAAATATAATATCTTCTGGAACCAGCTTCCCTTGGTTCACTGCATTTGCAATCTAAAATATAAATTGGAGAAAAAAATAGTGAGTACGCCATGCGAATGAACTTAACCAGAATACAGAAAATTTGCTTGTTCAGTGTAAAATATATAACTGGAATTTCAAATGAATTATAATCAGCTCTTCCGATGGTCCACCATTGATATCATGGAAATTTGACTTAAAAACGACGATATCAGATAAAAGTACACTGCACTCAATCGCAGAATTCTAAATTTCACATATCTACAACAATTCAAAATGTCAAACACCCCACGCTAAACACCACCCGCATCAATTCTGAATGGGCAACTACCCAACGGTAGGGTGGAGTAAGAATTCTTGGGGGTGGGCTGAACAGTCATTCTCCCGTACTTTTTTGCACACGAGTAGACCCTATGTAAGAAGACAGAAATGTCCTTGATCCTTTGCGTTAACTACGGACGATGCCAGCTAGGGTTTCTCTGAATCAAGAGAGTGAGCGACCACCTATTCCCCGCCAAATGACAGAAACACCCTCAGAATGAAATCAAATTTACCACCCGAGGTATCAAACCTGGCAGGTGGCCCGTCAAGGAACTCTGGCCAATTGGCCATAACTGAGGCGAAAGTCACCTTCGCTAATGTTAACTGATCAATTTACGAGAAGGAGAGAGGAAAAAAAAAAGGAACCGAGCTCTAACAAGAAAGAAAGATGTTGGTAAAGATTGAGACAATCTAAATCAATTCAAAGTAAAACTCGAAAGAAAATGAAGGAAAAACTAAATTGAAGAAGAAGAAGAAGAAGAAATAGATTGTGGACCTGTTTGTAGAGGGAGGAACGAGGATTAAGCTCCTGACGGACGAGGCCGCCCATGGAAATGTGAGGGACTTGAAGAATCTTGGAGAGCCTATCGGCATAGAGATGCTTCCTTGCGCTGGGATTGCCTATGAACACCCACTGCACTCCTCTCCCCTTGATCGAGCCTTCGGAATCTGCCATCGGTCCCGCTGAGCGCTGATCCCGGCCAGACCCGTAGTCCTCCTCCTCCTCCTCCTCCTCGTAGTAGTCGTAATCGTATTGAAGTGCGGCGGATGCTCCGTAGGATCGGCTCATTACGAGCCTCAACCACTTTGTTAAATGTGGAGCCACAGCCTTTCTGCAGCAGATTCCAGCCATGGCGGCGAAGGTTGAGTTGAACTATCGAGCGAGAGGTTTTAGAGAGAGAAGCAAACGCGAAAGAGGGTTTAGGCGTTTAGGGTGGAGGTTCGACTTTTTAAGGAGAGTGGGGCTTGTTTGGACTTTGGGAAATTAACGCTGCCTCGGGTAACATCAACTATTAACTTTGGGCCACCACCTCCACAGCTCCACTCCACTCCTTGCGAGTTGCGTCGGTACCCAGGAAGATAGCGGTGAAAGCCAAAAGCCAATCACATTCACATGTGAGATGAGAATCGAAAGAGCCCTGATTGGCTGGCTGGCAGCTGGCTCATCGTCCGTTATCTTTTATGGCTTATTAATGACAGCGTGGCAGATCACAACCGTTCATATTATGAAAATTTTGGTGGACCAAATTTTTTTGGACAAGTGGCAAGGAGAAGTGTGGAAAGGAGGAGTGAGATATGTTTGGGTAAAAATGGAAGAACAATCAATCAATCTCATCCGTTGTTCACTCCTTTTGTTTTGGTTGTACCCAGAACCAGAAGGCCTGAAGGATTCCCAATTGGAATTGAGTTCATCAGTTCACCCCAATCGAAGAGGATCTTTACCAGTTCAAGCGGCCCAAGATTACGCTCGCTCTACTCTCCACACCACACGCCGTGGAAACAATTTACGGTTATTTGAACGACACGTGGACATATTGCCTTAACTTATATTTTAAAGTCAGAAAGATTCTCGTGAACAGCCAGCTGGCAACTGGTTCGTGTCCAAAGCATGCTAGCACTTATTATCCCAAAGATTAAATTGCTTACAAGTCCCCTGGATTTCGGTTAAATACTGAGACTTTCCCCACAATTTTACCTATTAACTTATAACTACTTTTAATTTTTGGTAACAGAAACGAGCCATTGAATTTTAGGGTCCGTTTGGTTCATACTCGAAATTAAAATCGAAATCTTCCAAAATCGGAATCAGAATGCTCCATTCCTATAGTCGGTTTGATTTGAAAAGGAATGAGAATGAGAATTAAAACCAATAGGAATGAGAACTCATTCCCAAGGGAGAGGCAGGGAATGGCCATTCCTTCAAATGGAGGAATGTCATTCCAGCACGAATGAGAATGGGATTCCGATTCCACCCAACCAAATAATTGGAATCAGAATAGCCCACTCCAATTCCGATTCCAAACCTTTATTCCTGTAAACCAAACGGAGCCTTAATTTGATTTACTTAAATTTTATTTTATTTCATCAGCGCTGGCTGAAAATAGACAAAAACAGAGTAAAACCTGAAGCAAAAAAAAAAGAAATACTCGATTCATTTGCACTACTTATCTACAATACTTTTGCACTGGTGCAAATTGAAATTGCACTTCACAAAACAAGCCATGTGTGTCTGTCAAATGAAACATTTCAAGTGGGTCCTGCAACTTGCCAACTTTCGGTAGCATAGATTAATTGAATTCCACTATCCTAAACTGAATTTTGTGGCAAAGCATTTTGGAGCTGAAATATCAAATATGTCTCATTTCCAATTAGGAAACTCAAGAAAATGATCAAAGCTCCATTATATCTTCTTGCTATAATGTAATAATGGAATGGAATTCTCAAGATTCAAGGTCATTTGGAAAGTTGCAGGCGTTTCTCTACGTCATATTAATAAAACCTATAATCAAGTAGCAAATTAGTAGTTCTCGGTCTCCTTTTTGGCTTGTCCATGTTGGAGAATAAAAATCCATTCAAGGACCTCACTTTAAGTTTAAACTTTTTGGCTTCCCACCAATCCAACTTAAAGCGCAATTCAATTCCTATTAGAAGTGTGATTGGACGGACCAACAAGATATATTAAATTGGATCAATCCAGATTTAATGATCCAAAGTATTTATTAGATTGGATTAGACCTGGTCCATCCGTAATAAATTTATATTGGATTGGGCTGGATGGAATCAACATCTGGTTCATTGATATAAGATTAGAATATAGGTGTCAATGAACCAGGTTTTTGGTTATAATTAATCTAAATCAAAACACATTTGAAGAGATTGAACGGTCCAGACATTGAATTGGACGGAATTTGGTCCACACCCCTAATCCCAGGTCTTTGGAAACAACCATCCGCTGACCACCACTGTGTTTACATTTTACATCATGAGAATAAGATTAGGGCTACCTTCGGCTCATGGAAAATGGTGAGAAAATTCTTTATGATTTGGTCCACACCCCTAATCCCAGGTCTTCGGAAACAACCATCCGCTGACTACCACTGTGTTTACATTTTACATCATGAGAATAAGATTAGGGCTACCCTCGGTTCATGGAAAATGGTGAGAAAATTCTTTATGCCAAACGCAGCCCAACTCTTATTTGCTCCTTGTAATCACGACCCAGTTATAGTTGAGATGTATACCATTCCATCAAATTTGAAAGCAATTGCAGTCCAATTTTGTTTTGCTATATTCAATTATATCTTTAGAACGCAGAAAGCCTAGCTTACTGCCTGGTGTTGCTACTTGGAATTTTACTGGTGGCCATTCTTTGGATGTTTTGAATTTGATAGCACAATTCTGCTGAAGTTTTCATGGTGATATCTGAAGGAGCTAAGGAAACCTCACTTTAGAACTGCATATCTTCCAAGCTAAATCAAGAAATATTTTTCTCAAGAGCTCTTTAATGGCAGATGTTTGGAGCTAGCTTTCTCTGGGAATCACAATACAACAAAACAGAACAAGAAATTCCTAATGCCCTTTTGGCCTTTCCCTGTAGTAATTCCTATTGTCCTGATAATGACCATATATTTATCCATGTTGTTTTGTCCTTCCCATCATTGAGCTTTTTCATTCAACCGTTATTTTGTCCTCATCATGGGATTGGCTCAAGTGATTAATTGTTCCTCCTCAGGTGATTGTGGACTGTAAGCTTGAGCTTCTTTCTCCTTTCGGTTGTAGAAAAATCAGGATCTGAAGATAATGATAACCTGTATTGTACCAAGTCTAATAAACGTGACTGCAAGTGCCTGTTCATCTCTGTCACGTGTTTCGCCATTCTCGTTGCCCACATTCGGTTCTCAACACTCATCTCCACCTTCATTTGTAGTGCTTCAGGTGTTCGCCCTTGCTAAAATTACGAAAAAAAAGGGTTCAGAAGGCTGCTCCTTGCATATATAACTCGTGCATAAGTCAATTCATATATACATGACATTACGGAGGTCAGATGATACATGACATGGTGTAGTAGATGGAAGTACTCTACTATTTCAATCTCACGGAGAGATGATGTGGGCAATCCCGACCACCCATTGGAAGAGGAGCACTCGATCAACCATGTCTTACCTCCAAAGTCAATGTTAACTATACACTTCCACATGATATTAACCATTGAAATAATCGAGTTTTAATTTTACATGTCAGAGGCCTGTTCGGCCTTTTCCTTTCCTTCTGTATGTGTGTGTATGAGAGAGAGAGAGAGAACCTCCAAGTCAAGGATCTGCTGGTTAAGAGAATGAGTACTTCGAAAAGTTGTCATGTTACCATCTTCAATTGAACAATATGTGGGTAGCAGAGTGACGGTTCCACTGGAGCTGTTTACTGGCTGAGGATACTTGTCCAGCACAGGAACACGAAGCCCATAACAAACTCTCTGATGGTTTTCCACAACAGAAACCAATGATGACTGGGGGATCACCACTAGATTAGTTATCCGCCCTGCATGAAAAAGTAGGAGACGTATAAACTTTATTCTGTTCACTTTTGCCAGAACTGTACACCAAACCAAATCTCAAATTTTGTATACTTGGTTAAATATTCAACTCACTAGAAAGAAGAAAGCAGCACAGCAAAACTGAATAAAAAATTACCTTTCTGATAGTTGAATCTTCGAGTGATTACCCAATCCGAGACATCCCAAAGGCAGACAGTACAGTCCTCTGATGCAGATATCAACAATGATCCACTAAAACTGAAGGTCAATGCGGTTATGGATCCCCTGAAGAGCCATTCAAAAGGATCCTCAGTTCCATAACTCATATGATGGCTTGAGAATCAGCACATTTATTCATATATTGATTTACCAATGAAAGGCCATTACCCAATGTTGGTTCTGGCTATACATGAACTACAGTTCTAATTAAGGTGGTACAACTTGATTTGGTTATTGGCTTATACATGAATTTTCTTATTGAAAGTATTTAATCTGTAAAAACCAATTCCTATTTCAATTATCAAAAAACTGATTCCTATTTTTCAAAATATATGCATAAATATATTAGTTTTGTTAATTCCCTTGTGGAGTTTGTGGTATCCATGCATAACCAACTCATTTAATGTTAGTTTTTCATGGCATTTGAACCCATAAGTTCATCATCTATAAAAGAATAGCTAGCAAAGTTCTAATGGAAGATGGACATTGTTTTCTTTTATCAGTAAGATGGACATTAGTTCAACAGGCACCATCAAGGAATGCTATTACTCGGTTGATTCAAGTCTCTAATTCAAGTAAAACCTCCAATGTGTTTTTAGAAACTTGAGACCATCATACATTACTTGTGTCCTCTTAGCACCATTGAGGGGCCTTCTGAAATGACAGCAGAGTTTTCAAGTCCAAGTCCAACATTGAGTATGTTGACAAATATCCTACCATCTGCAATTCCAGAAAACAATATCTGCTTTTCAGAATCAAGAGCAATTGCAGTCACAGATGTTGGAAAAGCTTGCGTATGACAAAGCCTTCCTGAGATCAAGTCCCAGACCTATAAAATACCAAATAATTCTCTTAGAGTAAGAAGAGTCAGATTTACCCAAAAATAAACAATAAGAGGCAGACTAGAACTACTACAGCAAAGTGTACATAAAATTTGTTTTATGGACCTTGCATGTGCCATCCATAGAGCTCGATACCAAAACTGAGCTTGAGCTGCCTGTAGTTAAAAAACCAGTTATGGAGGAGTGGTGCTCAGACCAGCAATGGATAAAAGAAGGCAAGCTTCCACTATCTGTCACGTCCAGCAAACTTCCATATGGATGGATTAAGCAACATATTAACACACGAGTGGGAGAGAATTTAATTCCTTAAAACTGAACTGCACAAGCTGTAAACTAATGAAGTGTGCATATTTGGTCCTTACCTGATCATAGACCATATACGGATCACACCATCACAAGAACCAGAAATAAGAAGAGAATCATCACCAGAAAAGGCCAGACAGTTCAAAGCTTTCGGATGAGCACGCCAAGTCTTTAGCAGTCTTCCACTCATAATCTAAAAAAGAATTCAACAATGTCATGGATTCTAGCATAGAAAGACAGAACCTTTAGATTAAAATTTCCATCAATGAGCCCATCGTTAAACAGATACAACATCAATGGGGCCAAATAACAACTTATTGTAAGTTGAAACCATTTCATCAAGTACATTCTTTTGGATTATTATAAAACCCTTGCAAAGATATCCCGGAAAACAAATTAGAATATAGAATATAGACAGGATCAGAGTAACAGCTTATGATGTAGAAGATCTCCTTTTAATAGACCCGTAAAGAAGCTAAACCAACTAAACGAGGAGACATTCTTACTTACCTCCCAAACATACGCATTTCCAGAAAGAGCTCCGCCAACAAGATAAAGCCCATCCTTCGTGGAGGAAATTGGCCCAATGGCCTCTATAGGATAACTTCGGAGAGGAGATTGAGGCTGAAACCCATAACAAGATAGAAACCATATTACAACAGAACAATGCAAGGGAACCTCGTAAATTAAATATTCATATCATATAAGAAATGTTCTTAAGTGATTATGTAATTCTGCCATTCTTTGCTCGATCTTTTTTTTTTTGGAAATTGATTATTGAGAAGGGAATAATTGGATGAAGGTATGAGATTGGTATTGACTCTTGAACAAGAAAACAATAAGGGGAAAAAGAGAACCCAAAATAAACCAGAGAGGATATACGTATAAAAAAGTAGAAATGACTGATGAATGGATAAGCAACGCAATCGTTTTTACAAAAAAAAATGCAATAAACCGGGAAGAATTCCTACCACGTTATCAAGTAGCAACTGAAAAAAACAATGAAGGATCCGTTGATGATTAAAAAAAAAAAGCGAATTGCATGTAAACGCTGAAACTGATAAGGACACACAAAGAGATGATCAATCAGATCTGAATAATCTACAAGCAAATGTAGAACCAAACAAAATAAATACATGAAAAGAATTGATGCAAAACAAACAAGCAAATAAGCAAATAAATGGAGTTTTGCAAGAATTAAACAAATAAACGTAAACCAAAACTTTTTACAAGCACATACGTAAATTGATTTGTGACCACAAATATAAAAATAAATCTGATGTATGCATATATTGTTTCAATAATGAAGGGAGATAGACTAATGACCTTGTTCAAGGGCCAGAGGAAAATGGCACCACCACCAAAAGACCCATGTTTATGCGCTTGAGAGGCCACAAGAAACTGGTTCCTCAAGCAAAGCAGTCCATGAAAAGGAGAAGCACAAGTGGGTATGTGGAGTAGCCGATCACCAGTATTCATGTCCCACACGGTTATTCCTAAACTCATGCTCCTATCGCTGCAAGCCACCAAAACCTCTCTCACCATCTCCAGCTTCTCTCTCGCTCACTGTAACTTACGCTCACAGATGCGGGCAAGCAACGTCCACAGCCTCACAGCCACAAAGGTTTGGTGAACAGAAGATTTGTATTACCAAAGAAAACAGCAAGTCCACACCATGCACGCAGGCACCGTTCAATTGCAGTGGGCGGCTGCGGCTGGTTCACTTCGCTCCTCCGTTGCAATTGCAACCAAAATGGCCGTTCAGAGGGTTCTCGGAAGGACGCAAGCGTCCTTAATAGAAGGAGCTAAGAAAAACTCGGTGTTTTTCTGGTATTAATAAAAAACTCAGTTTATTTTTGGTATAGAAATTAAACTTCATTGAAAACAGAAACAAAAGGGTTACGGATCGAATTGTTGGGTTCAACCTAGTAGCCCAATGGCCCAGCCATCTTGGCATCGCCTGTAAGAATTCCCCATCATCATTCAAACCTCTTTTGGCTAACATATGAGCTATTCCACTGGATTTATTAAACTAAAAAAGGGTCATTTTATTAAAATATTTTTTATATTTTTATTGATTTATTAAAATTTACTATATAGTTAGCATTTTACTAAAAAATCATTTTATAATTTGTAATGGATTTAATCAATTTTTTATTCAATAATAGTATTGACCCTAATGTTTATTTTAATAAATTTAATCAAAAGAAAAAAAATAAAAATACCATTTTTGCCCTTAATAAGACAAAGGCAACCACTCTATTGGTTATATTTGGTCAATTTTGTTTTCTGTACAAAAAAGTGCTGAGGGTATTTTCGAAATAAAAAATCATGGGCCTAATGGCAAAATAAACACTCCTTAATGAAAGGTTGATTAAGTAAATAAGTTGTAAAATATATGTGATGTTTTAGTAAAATGAAAACTATAAGGTAGGTTTAAGTAAATATGTAAAACTATAAGGCGTGTTCTATTAAATGACCCTAATAGAAACACATAAGAGTATACAATTGTTTTATATTTTCAACTTTTTAAATAATTAATAATTATTCATATTTTATATACTATTTTTAATAAATTTGTTATAATACAAAAATAACAATAGTTAATTTCAGTTAGTTTATTCATCAAACTGATGAAATTGACCAACTCGATCAACTCGGCTCGAGTTTATCAGTTTTCTAGTATTTTAGATTCGCTTTGATTCAAAAATTTCCCAATTTGACCAAGTCGAATCAGTTTCACTTTGGCCATTTGTAAACCAACCAAAATCTAACGACCTAACCATGGATATATATTAATATTTTCTATTTTAAATATAATTTTTAATATGAAAAAGTTGGGAAATTTCCCATATTTCTACTTTGAAGAAACTTTTTTAATTTATTACATAATTTCATTATCTTAACTATTTAAAATCTAGTTATGATAAATATTTAGTTATTTAAATATTTAAATAATCTATAAAATATTTTTTTAGTTATCTGAATTTTATTTATTTAAAGATATTACATATTATTAAATAATTGAAAAATATTTAAATTGTTAGTACATAATTTCGTGATATATTTTGTAAAAATATAAAATTATATTTTGTGTTTTTAATAAATATTTTAAAGTTGTTATATAATTTTGTTAGAATATTTAAATAATTCATAAGTTTTTTTTATCCAAACTTTCTTTAGATAGATATAATAAAAAGTAAGGGAGATAGTAAATAGGAATTATAGATAATTTAAAAGAGAAACTCACTACTAAATTAGAGATAATTTTGGAAATAAATAGGAATTAGAGATAATTTTGGAGAAAGTGGGGGAGGTAGTTTAGGAGAAGAGATTATTTAAGTTATTGGGAAAGTGCATCTCATTAATTGTTTCAAAAATGACATGAAATTAAAAAAATAAAAAATTCAAAAAAAAAGAGAAAATTTATAGACTTCTTTGTTTATATATATAAGGGCTCAACCCCATTACAAAAAAAGAGAATATCCTTGCATAAGAAGTGAGCTTCATTGACAGACGCCAAATCCTTAGGTTTCAAGGCTTGAACCAGAGTCAAGTTATCACTTTCCAAAATGAAATTTCTAGCAAAGAGTCGATGCATCAGTTGGATTCCTTTTAAGCAAGCCACAACTTTTGCTTGAAGTGGAGAAGAACTTGGTGTAGGACCGAAAGAGATTGTCAGAATGTGACCACAATGATCGCAATTCCAAAACTAGCTACCCCAGGATCTTTAAAACCCCCGTCCACATTTACTTTAATATAGCTTTTTAGGGGAACTTGCCAAAAACATTGGTTGGACGATCTAACTTGACCTTGCAAAGTATTTTGCCATCATGGCAGCAAAGTCTTCATCCTCTCCTTCCAAAGCCCTGTTACAATTCTAGAGGGTTATGTAAGGATCAGGTTTGGAGTTTTCAAAGATGGAGGTATTCCTAGTTTTCCAAATTGACCAAATTAACAAAGTAAAGAAACTCAAAAGCTCTTCTTTCCTTACTAAAATTTGAGAACATTTTTCTATTCAGTGACTCAACAAAGCCCCAGAAGATTGGAAATTATCTGCCATGTCAATGTTGTAGCTAATAGACCCAAACCAGGTTAGTTTTGCATGTTCATCTCAACAACGCATGCAAAATTGATTCCTCCTCCTTGCCACAAATTTGGCATACTGGAGAATCAATGATACCTTTTGAAGCAATATTTTCTCCTACAGCTACACACCATTCCAACAACACTTCCAAACAAACATTTTAATTTTTGAATCGATTTTTATTTTCCAGATTTCTTTCCAAAGCTTATTGTTTAGGCTATTTTGACTCTCTTGAGAAGAGTCTAGATCTTGAATTATGTAATTCTTAGCCAAAAAGTAAGTTGACTTGATTGAGGATTTGTTAGAGGAGCTTCATTTCCAGGTTAGTCTATCTTCCCAGTTACCTTGAGCTAGATTAATCTTTAGAATAACAACTCCGAGAAAGTATTTCTGATCAAGTTCACATTCCAATATCTCCTATCTTGATCGAAGAGATCACTAACAAAGATTGGGTTGGGTCTTGGAGGTTTCGGGTTCATTAGCTTGGAGCTTGGGATATCCCCTAACCATGGATCTTTCTAATTCTTGATTTTTTTTTTCACTTGTATTAACATCCTAGCAAGCTCCCAGTCTGAGAATTTCCCTTCCTACAAGCAAATTTTGCTAACCCCAAGAGCCTCTCTTTGGAAGATTATCATTCAAAAATTCATTGCCTCTAAGATACTTTGCTCTAATTAATCTAACCCATAGGTTATTGTCTTCCACATAACCTCCAAGCTTGTTTGGACAAAAGTGCCAAATTGAAGTTGTATGGGTCTCTGAAACCTAAGCCCCATCATTTTTATTCCTACTTATTTTCTTCCAACTCACCTAATTGATATTTTTTTCTAGTTTTATGAAGCACCCTACCAGAATTTCCTATGTACCTTGGCTAGCTCATCACACACTTTTTTGGCAGTAAGAAGCAAGTCATTGTATATAAAGGGATGGTGGTTAGGATTTACTTTATAAGAACTTCTTTGCCCCCCAAGATAGCAATTGCTTATGTTAGTTAGAGGTTTTTGCCTCTTCAATAAGGAAATGGAAAAGATCCCTTTTCGACTTACCAAAAGCAGTTGGGAGACCTAGATAGATATCAAGCTTTTCAATTCTTTTTATGCCTAGACTTCTAGCCATCATCTTTTGGAGTATTGGATGCAGATTTTTTTTGGAAATAAAAAAAGAAAAAGATCAGACTTTGACAGGTTTACCTGTTGAACAAAAGATCTTTTTAAAAGAATTTGACCTTCTTGGGGAGTAGCCCTAGTGAAGAAGAAACTATCATCTATAAAGAAAATGTGAGAAATTATAGGGCAAAATATATTTAGCTTGATTCTAGGATTTTTTTTTTCTGAGCAGATAAAGCTTCAGAACAAAAAAGGAATAAGCAGGGAGATAAAGGATCTCCCCGTCCAAGGCCTCTTCTTGGCCATATTTTTTTCCCCGGGGCTCCATTGACTAGGGTTTGATATGGCAATATAGTGACACAATCCATAACCTCTTTTATCCATTTTCTTCCAAAACCCAGTTTTCCCATTACTTTTTCCAAAAAAAAAATCCATTCCACTCTATCATAAGCCTTCCTTATGTCCAACTTTAGAGTCATCCAAGACTTTTTTTCCTTTTGATTTTTTCATAAAGTTGATCACTTCATGAGCCACTAAAATGTTATCTTGGATTAGTCTTCCTGGAGTGAAAGCACTTTGATTTTCACTTATGATTTTATTGCACAAAGGTTTGACTTTGTTAACAAGGACTTTTGATATAACTTTGTAAATTGTATTGCAAAGACTGATGGGCCTTAAATGGATGACATTGGTTGGGTTTTTGGTTTTCGAAATTAGAGCAATGTAGGTTTGATTGAAGTCACTTGGCAATTTGTTTCCATTGAAGAAATCCTTGGTAGCATTGATAAGGCCTCTGCCCATCACATTCTAGAATTTTTGAAAAAAATAGGTTTTGAAAGCCATTAGGACCAAGAGCTTTTAGAGGAGCCATTTGAAACAAGATTGTTTTGATTTTCCTCCAGATTACTAAGAATTTTTTCACTTCCTTGGGGGTGTGAAAATTTGAAAATTCCTCCCAAATGTTGATAAATAGTTTCTTCTATTTGCTCCTCAATATCTACCCATATTCCAGGTTCCTTTTCCAAATGATGAATTATGTTTCTACTTTTCATTGTTAAGGAATGAAAAAACTTTGTATTTTTATCCCCACATTGAAGCCAATTTATCCTTGATTTTTGGGCTCACATCTACTCCTCTCTTTTTAGCCAAACTCCTAGATTTGCCTCTAGTCTATTCAGATTTTCTTTGTCCTTAAGATCTTTCTTGTTTAATTATGTCTCTATTTCCAACTTGAGCCTATCAATGTTTCTTCTCAAATTTCCAAAGATTTCTTTATTCCAAACTTTTAAGCTTTTCTTAAGATTAACAATTTTTTTTTTCTAAAATTGATCCTGAATTGGTCCCGATTGAGATCTAGATCAATTCCTCTCCATTGTCTCTTGAAAATTCTCATGATCCAACCACATTGCTTTCATTATGAACAGTCTCCTCCTCCACTTACCAATTCTTTCATTACTAACCAAAATCGGTAAATGATCTAACCCAAGGGATATGAAAACCTTAACTATAATTTTTGCAAATAGATCTTTCCACTATTGATTATACAAAGCTCTGCCTAGTTTTGCTCTTATGTTTCTACTACCTTCCCTTTTATTTGACGAAGTGTAATTGAAGCCATGACTATGAATCTCCATCAAACCCCAATCACTCAACAGATTTTTATTTTCCCTTACATAAGCTGGACTACAAGGCCTTCCCCCTACTTTTTCTTAAGGATCAAAGACTAAATTTAAATCTCCATAGCACATCCAGGACCCTTAACTAACTCTTCCAACTTCCTCCACTTTTGAACAAAAGCTTTTCTCTACTGTCTTTTGGGTTCTCCATAAATGAAAGAACAATACCAGACTTGCTCCCAGCCTCTTTTAATTTTGCATGGATAGAATTTTGGTCAGCATACAAGATCTTGCTTATTACATCATCTTTCCAGAATAGAGCTAAACCACCCTTATGACCCTTTGCATCACAACCCCAACAATTCCAATTTTTTAGAAAAGTTATTTTTTTTTACAACCTAGTAGAGAATGCTTAGTTTCCATAAGAAAAATGATGTCTGGATTTTTTTTTGGATCTCTTTTAGAGCTTGAATTGTTAGGGTAGATCCAATTCCCTGGCAATTCTAACTTAAAATTTTGTGACCCCGGGCCTGTTGCAGGACAGGACCCCTAACCCACTTATTTCTTGACTCTAAAAGGAATAGGAGCATGGAATCACTTGTGAGTAGGGGTGGCCACGAGCTGAGCTCTTCACTAGCTATTCGAGCTCGGCTTGTCTCGGTTTCAACCGGGCTTTGAACCGAGCTTGAGCCTAATAAAGCTTGGTTCATGGGGCTTGCAAGATGTGCTTGAATAGATACATATAATAATAATAATAATAATAATAATAATAATAATAATAATATAAAATAATTCTTATTTTTTAAATATCAAATAAAAATATTTTTTATATTTATAAAACATTTTTCTAAAGTCAAGCTTGAACCGAGCCGAGCTCGAGCTTAAGGTTCTAGCTCAAACCGAACTCGAGTTCGTATTGCCTTGACTAGTTATTCGGCTCGGCTAGGCTCAAATCCACCCCTACTTGTGAGTTCTTTCAACAAGTTAACTTGACACTCTCCTACTCCACAATCAATTAATCTTTTGGAATATTTCTTTTGTTTTAGTTTAACCAATGAAGCATTCATTACAAAAAGAAAACTTTCCTTCCTATTCTCAATCTCATTCTGTTTTTTATCAATAACCTTGACTAGAGAAAACTTCTTGAAATTATTCAAAATTTTCTTAATCTTCATCTCTTATAGGAGATCTGTTGTAAGTTCTAAAAAACCTCTAAGACCAACAAAAACTCTTTTTAGTTTCCTTATTTTTTTCCCTTAGAGTCCTTTTTCGGAGTTTCAAACACAAAGCTTTTCCTTTTTTTTTTCTTTGTTTTTTCCAACTAACAGATTTGAACTTTCCGTAGTTAATAGCTGTGAAATTGCACAAAAAACGAACTCTATGATGGGTAGTGCAAGTTGGAATTGAACGTCGTGAATTAAAAGCCTGATTTATAGAACATACCTCCTCTTCCTGGATTATGCTGGATGAGTCTTGAGAAATTTGTTGGAGTTGGAAGTTGGTCACTGTTCCTTCAAACTGCACTCCTTCCATCTGTGAATCATTGCTCATATCATCTTCGATCAGTTCAAAATCCACTTCTGTATTCTTGTTGCTATGGTTCAAAATCTCCTCCAAGAAAAATTCAGTTAAGTTCTATGTTTGGTAAACAAATAAATGCTTTAGTCATTTAAAGCACGTTCTCTTATTGAGTAAACCATAAGTGCCCACTCGTTGGCTCAAAGATTCATTCATTCAAAAAGAATGGTTTATCGAATTACAACACATACACTGGGAGTCTGATTTGGGTTCAATGCAACGTATCCCCAACATGGAAATCCCAACCAGAGCTTTTGAACGAGTCCGAATCTACTCTTCACACCGGTCACACAGCATGTAATAACCGCACATCGGGAACATCTCCCTAGTTATATTTATTATTCATGGGGAGACATTTGAATCCGGTTGTTAGGGATGCAAACGGATCGGATATTTGAATCCGATCTGACATTGTTTATGTCGGATCCGGTTTGATCCAAATATCCAATCGAAATCCTATTGGTAAGTCAGATCTTTATATCTGATTTAATTTGATTTTTTTTATTAATAAATTATTAAAAGAAAAGAAAATATATTAATTTAAATAAAGAAAAATTCTCAATTACTATCTTGTACTTTGGGCCTAGTGTAATTTTGATCCCCAAACTTTAAAATGTGACAATTAAGTACCTTAACTTTCAAAACGTGTCAATTCATTACCAATCGTTAACCAATTGTTAACCAGCCGTTTAGTGGCATTTGAAAAAGACAAAAGTGCCCTTCGAATGTCATCTAATTTTTTTATCAACCATCCAAACGTTGATAAAAAATTAACAATCTCAAATCCTTGCTTATTCTATTCAAAAAAGTTGGGGTCACGTCTCAATGGGCATTCTAGACCTCAACTTTTTTGAATAAAAGCTGTAAGGATTTAGGTTTGCTAATTTTTTTGTCAATGTTTGGATGGTTGATAAAGAAAAATAGATAACACCCGAAGGGCATTTGTGTCTTTTTCAAAGGCATTTAATGACTGGTTAACAACTAGTTAATGGTAAGTACTGGATTGACACGTTTTGAAAGTTCAGGTACTGAATCGTCACATTTTAAAGTTTAGGGACCAAAGTGACACTAGGCCCAAAGTACATGATACTAATCGGGAATTTTCCCTTTAAATAATGTAAAAAATTACAAGTATTTTTTAATTATTTTCGTCATATATATACATGTTTTTTTATAAATAATATAACATATATATATATATCGAATCAAATCTTCTCAAATCGGATAGGGGTGATCCGAATCCAATCTGAAGATCTAAACAGGGATGATTCGAATTTGACCAAATAAGATCGGATCATAATCCGATCTTTTTGCACCCCTAGGCTGTTAGATGGGTTTAAGAACAAATCTCAATTCTTTTGAATGGGGATTTAGACTTTTTGAATATAGGCCCAACATGTATTTAAGGGTGTCAATGGTATTTGAAAATCTCATTTTGAATTTGAGATTTGATATAATTATTAAATTTGGATAATTCAAATATTACAATCAGTCAATTCAAAAATGGTATTCATGCTGTTTAAGTAATTAGATCGAATTCAGATATGACCTAATTTAATTCGATAAATATTTGAATTCGATCAATTATTTAATTCTTATATATAATATATAAAATATATAAATATTTTATATAATTTATATAAATAACATATTTATTTTATATATTTATTAATTATCTAAAATAATTAACCAATCAAATTAAATATTTGATTTTTTAATTGAAATTTAAATTTGAATATTGATTTTTAATATCCATTTAAATTTGAAATATAAATTATCCATTTACACCCATGAACTTTAACTCCAGATTAGATTAGTTAGACTTGTATTGAGGCATGCATCCAACAATGTAAGCTGGCCCCAAGCCCACCAAAATTTCTAACACAATATGTTATCTCATTCCATGTATAACATTAATATTTGTATAATGTATTTTATGTACAAGCTTTTTTGCTGTCTTTGTTACAAATGTTTCATTTTTTTTTTCTAAAATATAAATATATTTTAGTATAAATTGTATATTAATACATTGTAATTTGGGAGTAGTTTCACGTTAGTCCAACACCAATAATAGAATGGGCGTTAATATGCCCTTAGCTGTCATGAACAATCAAATATGTTGATAAAACACAATGCCAGTAAAATCATGACCAAAGTTCGCACCACAGGTGGTTTGGACGGCAATCTTTGTACCACCGAGCCAGCTCTGACTCGGTGTCAAAATGGGCAGGGCCCGGATTAAGGTTAAGATCTTATGTTTGGGCCTGGGTTGGCTCTAACACGCACCCTGTCAATGTCAATTAAGCCAATTAAACTTGACGTATGGGATCGACGTATACTTACGAGTGTCAATTGGACTGGAATTGGTCCAATTCCATCCAATTCAATGTGATTCCATTACAAATAGACCACTAAATCAGGTCTAATCCAATCAAATAAATATTTTTGATCATTTTGAATTAGTCTTATTCAATGTTTGGATTGTTCAAATTTATTTTAATTTAGATTAATTCTAACCCAAACTTAATCTATTGACACATATATTTTTATTCTTCTTTCAATGGACTAGATATGGCTCAATCCAACCCAATCCAATATAAATTTATTACCCATGAACCAAGTCCAATTCAATCCAATAAATATTTTGGACCATTAAATCAACTGGTCCAATTCAATATATCTTGTTGGTCCGTCCAATTCGTCAATCGTCAATCCTCATTCCTCAACTCAACAGAACCCTAACCATCAAATCAAGGTCCACCACACCTATTTGAAGCGGCGAAACCGTTGTTCAATAAATTTTCGACTGGAGGGCATCTGGGCATAGTGAAAACCGATTTCCCTCCGCTCGTTTCATTTGTCCAGCCTTTCGCGTCGGAGGACGTCCATCCATCGTTATTCCCTGTCTTACCTGCTAACAGAGGTTCCTTTTGCAGAAACTGAAATCTGGCTACAGGTATCAATTTCTAAGGAGTTTTTCTTATTGTTGATTTTCTTGTTAATTTTGAATTTCTGCATTTCTCATTATTTATGCACACACACAAAGATTATCAATTTTTTACAGGTTCATGTTTGTCTGCGAAAGAAGCGATGGAATCTGGGACGTCTTCTCTGTCAAGGGTACATTACATTACAATTTTTTTCCTCTCTCTCTCTCTCTAGAAGAGAAAATCTGAAAATGTTTACAACCTATAATACGTTTGACATGACATTCTTAGGTATCTCCACCGGCCAGCACTGGGAAAGAAAGATGTCGTTTCTTGCACACGTTTGCAGTTTCGATGCTATCCATAGCTCACAGAGCTTACATAAAAGCGGAGGAATTCGGTGGCCCAATAGGCTCCTTGACACACAAACTAGCTGGACTGACTGCCCCAATTGCCTACATATTGCAATGCCAATGGCTAGTAATCCTAGGCTTCTTGGACGACCATATCCTGGCAGTCGAGAACAGAGTAGAGACTCTCTTCCCCCCATCGGCCTACTTGTTCGACCAGATTGATGCACTCGCCCAAAGTACAGTGTGCCTACCCGAGAAATTCGATGCTGTCGCCGACCAATTACCAGCAATGCTCCATCGCTTACCGTTTCTAGATTGCGCATTGTCCCAGATGAAATGGGGATTCAATTTTGTGATGTCCACATTGACGGATTGGGGGAATGACAAAGTAAAAGAAAAGGAGATCAGGGTTGACATCAACTGCATGGATAGGGCGAGTGAAGCGGCACCATCGTATGACAAAACACAGACCACCACAATAGATGCCAGCAGCAATGCGAAAGATGAGAATGAGGTGATCCATGTTAAACACAAAGAGCAGACTAGTTCAACCGAAGAATTCCCTTCAATTGTTAAGACCCAACAAACCAAAAGCAAGAGCAGCTCTGCAATAGACAAAATGGTGGTTCATGGTGGTGAGAACGGTAAGAAACAAGTGAAGAGCACTTACAAGGATATTCTGGAAATGGGGAAGCAAGGAAATGAGGAGCAGAAGAAGGAATAAGGTAGGAAGGAGATAAAGAAACAGAAAAAGATGATTGGCAAGGACACGGAAGGGAGGGAAGGAATGAAAGGCAACGAGTGTCCAATATTCGAGCTGTTTGAGGAAGGGTGGCTCATGCCATTGTCAGGAATGGGTATTGGTTAAAGAATTAATGTCATAGTTGGGGCTGGGGCCTTAATGCCAATTGGCAATTGCCAAGCTTGCTTGTAAATTCAATTGTTATTCATTAGTGTACATAATTACATAAATGTTATATTCTGATTCAACTTTTTATAGCCTGTACGTGAAGCCGAGGCAAGAGTAAAGATCTCTGTGAAATTAGAGAATTGGGTTTCAATTCCAAATACATGTCATCCGAATAAAGGTAAGAGCTCTTACCAAAAGTAAAGAACAGTTTTTTTTTTGGTAATAAAATGAAACTTATTGAAAGAAGAAGAAACTGATACAAGAAAGGTAACCGGTGATCAGTCAAGAGGAAGAAAAACTATAGACCCAACTGATGCCATCGAAAAGTGGTGAAGTCTTTGGATGAGCTCGGCCGTATCCTGTATGAGAAAATAAGGTCAGAGGGCCGGAGGTGATATCCCGTGCTTGTAACTCTAACGGTCAAGTCAATACTGAGTAATCCGGAGGTGGTGGAGAATTCAGATATTCATAATCAATTGAATGCTCACCTGCCCCTTAAATAAGCTTTGGTATAGTATACCTGTTAGGATGCATACGTGTTGGGCAGATGTAGGACACCTGTCATAGCTTGAGACACCTTATTTTGCCTTGGTGGAGCTTGGGTAAGATACCTGGGGCTCTGCCAAGACACCTGTTATTCGAGCTCAGTCACATAATGCTGGGTCCGAACACCTATGGCCTGGTTCAGGCCAGCTGGTATCTGCTTGAGACACCTGGGATCCGACTCAAGCACCTGGAGCTTAATCAGTGCTACCTGTTTTGCCACCTACAACATGCATTAGCCACCTGGTGTATAGTTGTGACATGTAGTGGTGATCTGTATTCCATGTCTTCAGTGCATGTAGTGGGCCCGAGATCGGTTACCTGGCAGATTCACCTTACGTGTTGATGGCCTTGTTACATGTACCGTCAGGTGGTCACTTGATGGCCAAGTGTCAGAGTGTGGAGATCTCCTGAAAGGGAGCTCATCTCACTAGGGAAGAACTCTCCCAGGTGGAACCTCGTCTCGATAGGGAGATCTCTTCAGGGGTCGGAGGTCGATGAAGCCCATATGTACGAGTTGAGCTGAGGAGTCCGAGGTGATTGTCATCCTTTGAGACAAAGGCAAGACGATGTTCTTCGAGTTGAAGGCTAGGTCGTCGGTTCACCCAAACATGCCACATGTTCGATAATTCTTAGGTCGGATTCACACTCATCAACCCAATAAACCAAGAGAATCTGATATTCATGTTCATATTCCTTTTACATACTCTAGTAGCAATTGCATATTTAGTTATTTACATGGACTAGAGTATTAGAACATCTATTTACATGAACAAAAAGATAGATAACAAAACCAGTCAACAGATCATGTATTGCTCCCAAATATTTCGTCTGCCCATGTTATATCAGAAAGTAGTAACTTATAATATATCCACTATAGCTCTTGCATCAGAAAACAGAACAGCTTCTGGTGTTCCCACTTGTGCAGAAACTAGACCCTGAAGCATAGCCTGTTATTCAGCTTGTCTAGCATTCATAGCTTTGCATAACTGTTCCGGAGCTGCAATCATCCTATCAGTACTATCCAATAAGATAAGCCCACCAGCAGCTCTATTTAACAGCAATCAACTCCTCAGGCTTCAGCATTTTGTTTTTATATAATTTAAGATTTCTGGCAGCCCAAATAAGCATTACTGCCTTAAGAGTGATTGCCATATATTCCATTTACCTTCTCTACTGAGACTTAGTCATGGACTGCAGTAACTGTTGTTGCCACTAAGCAACAATTCCGGGGAGCAGTTCCTTTTGTGCCATGTTTGGTTTGAAGGAAAAGGTAGGGAAATGTAGGGAAACTTAGGAAATCTTCCTGGGTAAGTCCCATTGTCATTGTCCTAACTAGAGACCCAACGGTATTGCTCTGGAGTAAGAACAAGAGAAGAGATTATTGAAATCTTCCTTTTTCTGTTCCACAAAATAGACAGAGCTGACCTTGCAATTTGAGATACTTCATCTTATCTTTTGTCTAAACAGTTCCCCACCAATTTGTCCTCCACAGAAATACCTGAAACCTGGGGGGAATTTTTAAATTCCGTATTTCCTCCAGTTAATGTTTGTGGAGGGGGACGCTGAAGGCCCAGCTCATGAGAACACTTCATATCTCAATTTGACAGTGTATTTATGAGACCTTGCATGTTTCCGTAGCAGTTGCTTTATCCGGAATTACTTTACTGGCATGATACCATCGGCAGATTCACTGTCAAACAGATTCTAAATAATAAATAGTGTCTTCATTCCATTACCTGAACCCCCCGGAGATTCTGTGTTCATGCTGGGAGAAGGTTTTACCTTATTCTCTTGGACATCAAATCAGCCCCCCACAAGATTGCCCCCGATAATATATCTTCGCCGTGTATTGAGAACATCTGTCAATGATAATTTCACAAATGATAATGTCATCATTGGCCCCCTGTCCGCAAGTCTTCCTGTAACTTTTCTATTTTAGTGTTTATGCTTTTGGGTCAAATTATTGCTCCCGTTGGATTAGGCCTTTCTTCTAGGAGAAAAAGTAAAAACGCCGGCCTCGAACCCACGACCACAAGGTTAAGAGCCTTCCGCTCTACCGACTGACTTAGACGGGCTTTACAAACAACCTCAACAAACTTATATATGCCAAGCCGTACAAAGTTGCAAAAGGGTGCCAAAGGATCGATAATTGACAAATTACCTCCTGATATACCTAACGGGTCTGCGACACGTGGGGAGGGATGGAAGATAGGCCTGAATTCTAATAAATCTGGATTGGGCCATAAGGCCTATAATCCTCAATACGAAGGCAGAATCCAGAACTAAATTGAGAGCTCAATAATATTAGGTTGACTAAGAGGTTGGAAAAGAGAGCTTGCATCAAGCATCAGCATTGACCATTTGTTATGTACCTCTTCTCGTTGAGGCTAGGGTTTCCCCGAGCAATGGTGGAAAATACCGCTCAAAGGGAAAGATGTCGTTAGCCATCGAGGAAACGAGACCCAGGTAATTTGAATTCAAGATAGGGAAACTGTTTAAAATTTATCATAAGTTTTTAATATTTCTCTTAAATTCATCACAACTTTTCAAAATGTCTAAAATTCACCATGTCACTAACTTGACGTTAAACACACTAACGGGTGTTAATATATTACCATTTTAATCTTCATACAAAAATATAAAATATATACAAATAAAATTAACGGGTGTTAATATATTACCACTTTAATATTTAGACATGAAAAAAGGAAAAAAGTTCAAAAAAATATTTTCAAATATAAAATACATAAAAACATAGAAATTACAAAAAATATAAAAAATTATAGAAATTGCAAACAAAATAAAAAAATATTTTCAAATTATAGAAACTATAGAAATTGAAAAACAAAAATAGAAAATAAAAATTGTAGAAAAAACACCAAAATTATAGAAAAACACATAAATTGTAAATAAATAACAAAAATACAGGAAAATTTATAGATTGTAGAAAATAGAAAAATGTAAAAAATAGAAATTATAAAAAAAAACATAGGAAATTATAACAAAATACTAAAAATGCAAAAAAAAAAAAAAGAAAATTGAAAACTGAAAAAGACAAATTTTCCTCTAACTCACCATTCAAAGATAATTTGGTCATAAAAATTGTTATTTACGATGACATGGACACCTCTGTTAAGAAGCATTACCGATGCATTAAAGAAAGATGAGTTGTGAAAAATAAAAACTTGGTGAGTTTTATAGATTTTGAAAAGTTATGATTTAAGAGAAATATTAAAAACTCATAATGAGTTTTAAACAATTTTTATGACCAAAGTTTGACACGTTAGCACAAATCATAACAGAATGGATGGGACCTGATCGCCCATGATTGAAGTGGTTGTCTGGAGGTCAGGTGCTAATTGTTGGAATATTCCCCTGTGCCAGGCGGTTACGTGACATCCCCCGTTCTTGACCACGGGCTCGTCCTCGAAATTGAAGTCCGGAAATTGTTGCTGAAGCTGGGACAGAGGTTCCCAGGTTGCGTCTTCCTTACACATGCCTTCCCACTGAATCAGAGCCTCAGTGACTGTTCGATTCCCACATTTAACCATGTGTTGGTCCAGAATCTTACAGGGTTGAGGAAGGAAGGTTCCGTCTGCTGCCACTGGTGGAAGAGTTGGTTGGCTTCGGATGAGAGCACCCATCGCTTTCTTAAGCCACGAAACATGCACTATAGGGTGAATCTTGCATCCGTCTGGTAACTCCAATCGGTACGCAACCGACACGACCCGATCCAAGATTTTAAAGGGCTCGTAGAAGCGGGCGGCTAGCTTTTGGGATCGTCAAGCAGCAACGGTCATCTGACGGTACGACTGATGTCAAAGGAAGACGAAATCCCCTGTTTGAAACTCCCTCTCTGTGTTTCCGATCGGCAAACTTTTTCATTCGTTCTCTGGCTCAATTCAAATTTTCCTTCAAGAGTTGCAATGTCTTCTCTCTAGCTTTTAATTCATCTTCAACGCTCTGGACTAAGGTGGTTCCCAGAACATAAGACAAAAGGGTCGGAGGGGGGTAGCCGTAAACAATCTCAAAAGGAGTGACCTTGGTGGTTGAATTTTGGGAGGTGTTGTAGCACCATTCCGCCAGCAGTAACCAGCGACACCATTGTTAAGGTTGGTCCCCAGCGAAACACCGCAGATAAGCTGTGAAAGTCTTGTTCATGATCTCGATTTGCCCATCCGTTTGCGGGTGGTAGGAAGAGCTTAAATTAAGTTGGGTTCCTTGCAAACGAAAGAGTTCCTTCCAAAACAACCTTGTAAACACTGCATCGCGATCACTGACGATGCGTTTCGGCATCCCATGAAGTCGAAATATCTCTGCCTTGAATATCTTAGCTACGTCCCTGGCGGTGTATGGGTGTTGTAATGCTAGTAAGCGGCTATATTTGGACAGGCGGTCAACTACTACCATGATCACTGTCTTATGGTTCGAAGGCGGCAACCCCTTGATAAAACCCATGTTGATCTCGGTCCAAATTTGTTCTAGAATAGGTAACGGTTGCAGAAGACCGGGCAGCGGCAAATTTTCTATCTTGTTCCTTTGACAAACTTCACAGTGTTTAATCCATTATCTAACTTGTTTTCTACACCCATGCCAATAGCAAACATGTTTAATCCTATGCATTGTCTTGTGGTATCCTTCATGCCCGCCTCTTGGAGAGTTATGCAGCTCATCAAATAGTCGTCATCTGAGAGCGGACTCCTGTGGTATCACCACTCTACCATCCTTCCAAATCAATCCATCCCTGAGCTTATATTTTCCCTTATTTTCTCCCCTGTTTTCGATTTTCTTCCTCAAAGCCTGCATTTCCAGGTCAACCTCTACTTCTCTTTGCAAGTCAACAACCCAATCTGCCACAAGCCCAGAGATAGCCGCCAATTCTCCATGAATGCGTCGAGATAAGGCATCGGCAACCAAGTTGTCCCGCCCCTTCTGGTATTGAATTTCGAAATCATAACCAATAAGCTTACTCGATAATTTTTGTTGGAGGGGTGTGGTTGCTCGCTGCCCTAGAAGGAACCTCAGACTCTGATGATCGGAGCGAACAACGAATTTTTGACCGAGTAGGTAAGGGCACCACTTCTGTACAGTTGTTACCACTGCCAAGAGCTCTTTGTCATAAGTGGACATGGCTAAATTTCGGGGGCTGAGAGCCTGGATGAAGTAAGCGACTGGCCGTCCTGCTTGGGATAACACCGCCCCGATGCCTATCCCGCTGGCATCACAGCTTATGATGAAAGGTAGATCAAAATTGGGTAGTGCCAAAACTGGAGTAGTGATTACTGCTCTTTTAAGGGCGAGGAAAGCCCTTTCTACCTGCTTGCCCCATCCCCACGCTCCTTTCTTCAACAAATCAGTTAGCGGCTTGGCAATCTTTCTGCAGTTCTGGACGAACTTTTGGTAATATCTTGTCAACCCCAAGAATCCCATAAGCTCCGTGATGTTAGTCAGTCGCGGCTAGGACTGCATACACCCTACTTTCTCAGGGTCCACCTCCACCCCTGCACCAGATATCACATGGCCTAAATAATTTACTCTATTTTCTCCAAATGAACACTTACTCAGCTTGGCATACAACTAATGGCGCTGCAGTCACTCCAAGACCTCCTTTAGGTGTCCCCAGTGTTCTGCTTCAGTCTTACTGTAAACAAGAATGTCGTCCAAAAACACTAACACAGACCTCCTCAGTAATCCCCAGAATACGTCATTCATTAATGCTTGAAAGGTGGAAGGGGCATTAGTAAGCCCAAAAGGCATAACTAAGAACTCATAGTGGCCTCTGTGTGTTTGGAAGGCTGTTTTGGCAACATCCTCTTCCTTGATATGGATCTGATGATACCCGGAGCGGAGGTCCAGCTTGTCACTTGGTTCATCGATGACGGGCATGGGATACTTATCTTTGATTGTCACTTGGTTCAACCGTCGGTAATTAATGCACAATCTCCATCCCCCGTCCTTCTTCTTAACCTGCAAGACCGGAGACGCAAAAGGGCTGTTATTGGGTCTTATAGACCCTCGCTCTAGCAATTCCCGAACTAACCTTTTGATTTCCCATTTCTGGTAGTGGGGGTATCGATACCGCTTTTAGCAAACTGGCCCAAACCCTTCTACAAGTGGTATTGCATGGTCGTATCTCCTGCGTGGGGGAAGGTTCTGTGGATCGGTGAAAACATCTGCATAATCTCGGAGTAATTGTTGGATACCTGGCTCGACTGGCCTGACCGGAAATTCAGTTTTCCCAATCAAATCCTTCACTACCTGCAACAAGTATAATTGGCTAGCTTTAGCTATGTGTTTTTGTATCCTCCTTTCGTCGGTCAGTGTTGCCCCTCCTTTCTTCAGCCCTTGTAACCGGTGAGTTCCCTACTCATTCTGAAAGCTAAGGGTCATCGTTGAGAAGTTCCAAGTGACCTCCCCCAAAGTCTACAACCATTGCGCCCCCATTATCGCATCGACCCCTGGTAAGGGCAGCAGATAAAAGTCTACTTGCAACATAATACCCTGAGTTTTGATCGGAACTTCATCGCACCTTCCTACTCCTCTCAACTTTTCCCCGCTAGCCAGTCACAGCAAATCCAGTGTCCACTGTCAAAGGCACTCTAGCCTTCTCGGCTACCCTCGGATCTAAGAAATTGTGGGTAGACCCACTGTCAATCAGTATAGTAACAGGGTGAATGCCGAGAGTACCTTGAATTCGCATGGTTTGCGGCGACTCCATCCCGTTAATGGCGTTCAGGGATATCTCTGTTTCAAGTTTGGATGGGTGAAATCAATGCTGAGTTCCTCAAACGATTGAGTTCAGGGATAGGAAAAGAGGGTAAAGAGATAAGAATGGAAAAAGATGATATTTCAACATGGGTATTTCAATAAAAATAGGTACAAACTAATTTGCAAAAAGTATTTGAAAAATAAATTGATTCATCGATTTAATATTTTCCATCTTGGTTAAAGAAAGGTTTTTGTCGAATTCTTTAAAAAATTAGGGAAAGTTTTTATTGAAGTAAAATATAGGGGAAATTTTTCATGTATGTCCGAAACTTCAGGAGAGGTTATTTGTATTTTACCCAAAACAAAATTAATGTATGTATTACACTACAAATTTACTTTTGTACTCCTTCCAAACTGAGCATTAAGCACGTTCATTTTTTACCGTTTTTTTTTCTCTACAGTTATAAAAGACTAGAAAGTTGAAAATGACTATTGATTGGACTGTACATTTTTTCTTTTCTTCCAAGACAATAAATAATGCCCCTAGGAAAAAAAGAGAAGGAAAAGAAAATATGAATAAAAAGAAAAAAAAAGAGAGGAATACAACATAAATATACATTGATGGCAAGAACAGAACTCTAACACTGGTGGATAGAAGACATGTTCTTGCTCTTCCATATGATGGCTGACAAAACCCTCCCCACCCTCCTTGAAGCCGTTTTATGGAGTGGGCCGAGTGGCCTTGACGCATGTACAGGTACAGGTGCAATGGCTAGGGCTGGTGGGGCCGGTGGCGGTTGGGACCCTGAGTTGGGACCACATCTGGATTCCTTTGACTCTGGAGGCTTGGGGTGCGTCCTGGATTCCTTGGACTCTGGAGTCTTGGGGGGCGTCCTGGACTCCTTTGGCTCTGGAGGCTTTGGGGGCGGCGTCCTGGGGCTGGGGCGCGTCGTCCTGAACTCCTTTGGCTCTGGAGGCTTGGGGGGCGGGGTCCTGGGGCCCTTTGGGTCTGGAGGTGGAGGGTTCGGGACCGGGGGTTGCGCTTGAGTGTGAATGGGAGGTGGGTCCCGCTGTCGCTGCTCCCGAAAGAGCATTAGCAGTTTCTGTGCCTTATCTTTCCCTCTGGCAGTTCCATTCACTGATAGTGACACCAGCGCAGGTATTACCCCCTCTCGAAGCACTAGTTCAGTGCATTTATCACTTCCGTTGCATAAAATTAAAAGACATGCGACGGCTTGCTCCTGCACGATAGGCTCACCGCTGTCCAAAATAGACGCAAGCCCGCTGATAAGCCCTGTTGTTAATATGATTTCTCTTTTTCCCGATTTACTTGAGGCTAGATTTGCAAGTACAGCGATTGACTTTTCTATCCATGTCCTGTCAGCGGTATCTGTGAGGGTTGATTGCAGCCCTTGAAGGACGCCAGCTGAAAGGAGAACGGGGATGTTGGGGGGGTGACTAGAGAGATTGTAGAGGGTATGGATGGCGTCAAGCTTGCATTGGGGTTCAGTATCTTCCTGGAGGAGACGAATAAGGAAGGGAACAGCCTGGCTTGAACCAATGATTGGCTTTGCTTGATCCAGGCAGGAGATATTGAGATAGAGAGCTGTTGCTGGTCCGCATGAGTTGGGCATGGGGATCATTTCTTCTAATAGCGGAATTAATCCTGCAGATAGCATCAACTCCTTGTTCCTGCAACACATTGACAACACAAAATGGTAAGAACTAATTCATGCCAAACCTTCTTAACACTACTGGACGGAGTGGAAGATAAAAGCTTCCAATTATATTTTTAGAAAGAGGGACCTCGGCCTTTTTTTTATCAGAAAGACATCATTGCAATTACGGAAGGAGGAAACTTGCGTAACTTGTTATAGCCACAGTCAACCAACTGGACGAAGAGTTTCAAATCAAAAGTTCAAAATAGCGGCCACCAATCCTTGGTTTTTCTTTTAATTGTGAAGCAATATTTTGTTATTTAGATGATTACAAGGTTTAAAACGGTGCATAATTGTAGAGCCACAAAATCATACAGATAAAAGTGAACAATGATAAAAAACAATCGCTTGACTTGAAGAGAATTTAGTGCTGGCAAGCCCAATAATATCAAAAGCATGTCATTACCATGGTAAGAACATCCTCCTTTGTAACAATATACACATGGTATTCCCCAGAGGGATTAACTTAAAATCTATTTTCAAACAAATTTTACTGATAAAGCATATTGTTAACAGCAATTCATGCTGCTATTCTAGTCTTTTACTCTTTCATGTATGCATTTGATGGCTAATGGCCATGACAGACATTTTAAAAAACCAGAGAAATATTGAATGAGTACAGACCTGTTATTGTTAACGGCAAGGTTGAAAAGTGCCATCGCTCCAATTTCCAGAGCCTTCTCGTTTTTCTCATGGATAACCAAGCCCAAAAACCGAACAAGGGCATCAACAAACCCATTGGCCCCCATATAAATCCTAGCTTCTTCATCATCCTTCAGTAAGTGTCGTATTTGTTCCACCACTTTCCACTGCCTCCCCAAGTCTTCCCCCTCACGCAAGACAGATAGGAAATTCCCATACATTTGAAAYACGTCCGGTTCAGAGTTCTCCTGGCCAGACACATCTTCCACCTTATTTCCTTCAGCTTCATCAACAGTCCCACTCTCGTCAAGGGGTACTACCTTCACTCCCTTCAACTTGCAGGAGTCAACACTCTCGACCGACCTTGAATTAGTTGATTCAGACTCAGATAATGCAAGCCTCCAGTAATTTAGATCAAGAGACTCCGGAGGCCCATCAGGAACAGGAACTCCATTATGTTCACACCAACTAGCAATAAGACCCTTCACACAGTAATTTGGAGTTAAACAAAGATGAGAGAGCTCTTGCTGAGTCTTTGGACAGGTGTTATGCCCATCACTGAACCATTTCTCAATGCAGATTCGCTCATAGGTCTGTCCGGATGAGATGATGACTGGGTCATACATGAGCTGCAATGAAATTGGACACCTCAACTCCTCAGGAGGCACTGGAATTTGCCCTGACTTCCAACCACTTGGCTTGAAATTGAAAGAACTCAATTTCAAGAACTGTTGATCGAAGGCATGGAAATTCCCCCCATGCCCACTACCATCCTCAAAGGAGCACTGAACAGTTGGAGAACAAGGACCAGATCCCTGTGAATCATTGTCATCTGAGAATTTGAAAAACTTGGAATATTTTCTCATGAGATGTAAAAGGTAAGCCACAATGGATTCCTTTCGCTTGTCTTCCTCAGCACGGGCTCTTTCAATCAGCTTTTTGAGAGCTCTCCTCTCAGTCAGAGCTGCTCTTGAAGAAGTAATGCCAAGCTTTATGACAGCCTGGTGAAAGGTTTCAAGCTCATTATTGTCATTACAATTGCGATTAAATTTTCTCTCCTGCTGAAGCAAAGTAATCACTTCATCACCAACTTGCTTCTCTGATGGATTAAGTGAGAACACTGTGCCCTGAAGTTCAGTTACAATCTCTGAAATCTGCAATGGACATGATGACAACAGAAGGTCATATTTCTACTTGGGAAACAAATGGCTAAATGGAACTAGAACCATTTGGCAGATCAATGTTGCCAATCACTTGCTATGTATTGACACTTTTTTTTTTGAAAAAGGTAATGTGTAATTGTATTAATATCAAACATTACACACATAAATGAAGGACCCCCCAAAAAAGTCTATCTTCAAAAAGGTGATGACATATCATCTCCTCTAAAACAACTAAGAGTAGATACACCTTCTAATCATCCCTACTGCAAGATTAATCACCACCTCCTCTGGATTAGTCTTTTGGTCTAAAATTCTACCATTCCTTTTTGAGCCAAATGGCCCAAAGATAAAGGCACAACTGCCCAACAGACTTTTCCTTTTGTAGACATATCTTGAACTTTCCACCCAGCTTGAAGAGCCTTAACAGAGGCAGGACAGTGTCAGTATACAAGAACAACCTTGCAGAAGAAAGCCAAAAGCCACAGGAGGGGAAGATAAAAAGAGGGAACCAAAAACATTTTGCTACGATGATCTTCTTATTGTTATTTTGCATAAAGTAAATATGACTATTTTGAGTAATGGTTGTTTATTCTTATGACTAATGATGGAACATTTTACCATTAAAAAGGTATAACCCAGGTTTCCAGCACCTGCCACCCAATATGGATGATCTATCCCTACTTCCTTTATTGCTTCTAGTTTCCTTTGTTTGCACTTGAAGTAAATAGTATGTTTACAAAGTTTTTTCCTGGGAAAATTATAATGGGCTCAAGGGCTTTTCAAAAGCCTAGAAATAATAAAATGAAGTAGCATTCTGTCTCAGAAGAATCAAACTACTACTCAGAGTCAATTCCACAGCTCAATTGGTAAACATACTAGACCATAGCCATACCATCTGAATCCTACTTATCCAGCAACAGAATGACTAATGACCATTTATACTTTTTATACAGGTTAACATAATGCTTTCTAGATAGATAAGTTTGTCAAAATCAAGACGGCACTAGCATAGCATGGTAAGAAGTACTCTATCTCCTGCTTGTGGCAGTGGAAGAGTACAATCACTTAAAACAAAAAGATTCAATTGATAAAAGGATCAGTTAAGCCATGATACCAGTTCCAATGGCCAATTCCCATTTAGCAAGTGGAAAAAGAACCACCTACCATTAACATGGATTTTTTTTTCTTTATTTCAAGGATTAATGTTTGGAAATGTAGTCAAATGCAGCAAAACATGTGAAAATTATCATGACAATTTAGAAATCTACAGAATTTGAAAATCCTTTTGTTTAATAGTTCAACAAAGAATCCAGTACAAATATTGTCAGATTTCTTAGAAATCACACAAGAATACCCCTAACTGGAACTTCTTTATAGAAAGCAAACTGTTACAGTCAAATGGAATTGATCGCCAATGTTTCAATTTTCAACCAATTCAATACATTTCTAAATATTCCAATGAAAAACCACCTAATAACTATGTAAAGTTGCTTAAAGATGAACTAGAGATAGATTTATATTATTCAGGTCAATCAAAAGGGAATCACAAGTAGAGCATTGAACAGACAAAATCACAATTAAAGAAAAGAAGATTGGGGGAAAAGAAAAACAAAAAAACTGAATAATATTTACCTGAGAACCAATTGCTTGTGGGACAATCTCTTCAATACGCCTAAGGCTATCCACAAGAGCAGACCTTACTTTCTCAAATTTTAAGAGGATAGAATCTCCGGTTATAGCCTATATGATGAGAAGAGAGGTCATCAGCAAAGTTCAAAATGATCTAAAATGAGTTGAAAAGATGGGGAAATGTACAGTTATTATGCCCTTAAAGATGTAACTTTGTGGAAGACGTACACAGCATAACAACTCAAAGCTAGTAATATGATAAAGAAACTGAATTATGCAGATATTTATGAAGGGAAAATCTATGATGCGGGAAAGACATGGTATTGGAAGAGTCTTGACCAATCAAAATCCACCCATGAATTTTGATAAATAACACCAGATTGGCTACCATGTTTATGATTCTAGTTGATTGGTCAGACGTTTTTCAGATATCACATCTTTTCCATATCATAGTCGAACCCATTTATGAATGGGTTAGATCTCAAACATCCAAACTGCTCTCTTACAGGGAGTGCCAAAAGAACAACTATACAACAAATTAGTTACACTTCTACCCAATAAAAAAAAGCACTGTTCATAGTTCCAGCTAAAGCCCAATGGATAACACATATATAAAATACAACAAAAAGTTAAAACAATACTGTTCAAAGATATAACAAGACAAGACAAGAGTCATAGAGATTGAAAAAAAAAATATTGTTGGAATATAAGTACATTGGTACAACAATTAGAGCCTGTCCATAGTAATATTTGAAATAGCACTGTCCATAGTTCCATCTAAAAGCCCAATGAATAAAACATATATAAAATACATCAAGAAAGTTAAAACAATTTGTTCAAAGATATAAGAGCGGTGGAGATTGAAAAGAAAAAAAAAATATTGTTGGAAATATAAGTACACTGTTACAACAATCAGAGCCTTGAACCTAGGAAATTCTAAGTAAATCGGTGATAATTTGAGACAAAATCAAATACTGGCAAATCTACCAAGTAATAGCCCTTTCATCAGAGAACCACTAGTTAATGTTATAGTAGTGAGCAAATATTGCATAAAAATGATCATGCAACAGGGAAGCAATTGTACCAAATAAAGTTTACTACACTCCGAGCAATGCTGAAGAAGAATCTTGGCCTTCTCAAGTACTATGTGCAATGAACATAATGCCTGTATACCCGACCTGCTCCTTGGCCGTGTAGCTTCTAATTCTGGAAAAATTTCCAACACTTTACAAAGAATTGAAGAGAGATGTTTACACATCTCTCCATATAACTGCATGTGCAGACAGAAATTTATTAACCATTCACCTTCAGCAAATGAAACTCTAAAGCATCGTATTTTTGGAAGTTAGAGTGTTAGTGAGTCCAAGATTCAAATTTGACAAAGCTTACCAAGAACCCTAAGAATCATTAATCGAACATAAGCCATCAAAGCACATTGTTTAACGACCAAAAACCCTAACCTCCCCAAGAATTAGCACCTTTAAAAAGAATGCTTTAACTTTCATGAAACCCGAGGAAAATAAATAGAGGATTGGAGAAAGAAAGATATGCTAAGGAACTGTACATCATCGTTTGGCAACTTGAAATTTATATAGGCGTAGATACCTTAGCATCGCTGGCTACGAAAAGACTTTCCTCAACCTCGGCAACATCCATATTTCCCGATCAACGATACTTCTACAGGTTTATACCTGCTGATACGAAAGCAATTTTTAAAATTAGTAAACACAAAAGAAATATCCTGTTCCACTAATTATTTAATGATGAATCAGATTCCAAACTCTATAAATCAACAAGAAACCAACAAAAACTAGCATAAGGTTGTGGTTTATAAGCAAAAATGGTCAACTTAGGGATTGAAAGTTCCCTTGTTCCTGATGAAGAATAAAAAGAAGTAACGTGTTAATAACCCGTTACCTCTCTCTCTCTCTCTCTCTCTCTCTCAAATGCCGAGAAAGATTAGGCACAACCATTTGCAGCATTTCAAGTTTCAACGAAAGGAATTCATTTTGATTTAAGCATTTTAGCGAGTCAAATGATTACAAAAGGACAACAATATAGGAAAAAAGAATACACGATCACCTGCTGACATCTCGAAATTTATGAATAAGGAGACTGAAATGCTACATTAATTAAAAAAGCGAGCAAGTGAAAGAAAAGCTTATTAACTATAGTAGCGATTTGGAATCGAAATAATATGTTTATAACTCGGAAGACATTAGAGCAACAAAAAACTAGGAAGAAAAGAAAAACAGAAAAAAGGTAACAAACAGAATGAATTTTCGGACGGGAAGAAAAAGAGCCCAGGGTTTATAAGAGAAAACTTACCCGAAAAACCATAAACATATATTTCCAAGGAGGCTTCATGGCAAAAGTTCATGGAGATCACGTAAGAAATACCAAGCAGTGTTTTTAGTCATCCGTCCTGCTGTCATCCCATCTTCTCTGTAATCTTGTAATTGGGAGTTAGGGTTTCGATCGGTTGTTTCAGAGGAGAAAATCTGTTGCAATGGTGAAAACGAGGGAATGGAGAAGAGGCATGTCACTGATTTTTTTTGGATTTTCTATCTAAGTGCTGCTGACATGTCTATATGGGCGCAAGGAATAACCAAATTAAAATAATCAAACGAAATAAACAGACGCTTGCAACTGATTTTGGTTTTAATCTTCTTTTTCAGTTATTTTACCACCGTATATTGTTTGTTTTCCTGTTTATTTATTGTTTATATTGTTCGAATCGCATATTGGAATTTTCGCCGCTTTTATCTCCCGGTTTATCGGCTGACAACTGCCGACTTCCGCTTTTTGTCAATTAGCAGTTTCGTCATGTGTGATGACCAAAATGCCCTTCTTCAGGGATGCAAATGCTTTCATTTAACTAAAAAAATCATGCTGACATTTTTTTTACTGATCGACTAGTTATGAACACGTATAATTGTTCATACCTATTGTATAATCAGAGCCGTCCAACCCAATAAGGACCATCATAGCTTTTTGTATAGTATAGAGATGCATTGCTTCATCAAATCCAGTGTATAAATGAGGCTAATGAGGACCATGCAGTGCCGAGTCGGGGTCGGGGATCTCCTTCCACTAAAAATCCGCTCCATCATCTATATCGCATGCATGATGTGTCCCAGTTTTATGATGGATCCCAATCCTCTGATCAAACGACACATGATGTGCCAACACCGGAAATGTTGGAACGTGTTGGCAGGAGATCCCGACTCCTACCTGTCACATTGGTTTGGTTTGGAAATTCGTTCGAGGTTCTGCGTTGGAATCGATAAACAGAAATTACAGAAACAGATATGGGAGGCAAAACAGCGCTTTTGTAGGGAAAACATCCTGTTCGCATAAAATTGTGAAATCATTAAAATATTGCAAAATGATAAGGACGATTTCATCATTTGACGTCAAATTTTCGTTTCCAAATACGCACGCTAGCTTCTGGGAGCTTTTTTTTTTTTGATTTTCAGCTTCTCTAGACTAGTTCTTTTTCTCGTCTCACCAATTTAATGGCATTACATGAAAATAAATGAACCATAGAGGTTCTTTTGAATTTAAAAGAATAATCTGATTTCCTCGGCAGCGGATGTGCCTTCTGCATAGTGCATACATACAAGATGGGTACGAAATCGGGGAATCTCAAAATCTGTTTGACCAATTAATGACCTTTGAGTTTGACAGGGGTGTATCAAAGCCATATCCCATTCCTTAAATAGGAACAAAAATCCAATATATATACTCGTCTGCCGGAAAAACCATACAACTACAATTTATTATTATTTTTTTTTTAACGAGATGGGATTCTCTGAAAGCAAAAACTCTACACACTGTGAAAATGTGAGAATCCCGCCCTACACTGATAAATGGCAAACATCTCCCAAGTGAATATAACAGAAATGATCAAATGAATGTTAATGTGAGTAAAATTTGTTTGCAGGAGATTCGGTTTCCTTCTTAGGAGACCACATCTCCGCCCCACAATGCCCCACACCCCACAGCATATCCCCGCCGTGTATGGGAAACATAGACGGGAGATGCTATACACGGCGGGATGTGCTGTAGGACGTTGTGGGGCGGAGATGTAAACTCCCTTCCTGAGCAAATGAGCATCCTGGCAGGATGTACAAACAGTCGCAAGTCCCACGTGGCCCATGTCCAAATCTAGATTTACTCCTCACAAACCCATTTGCATCAAATTCAGATTTACTCCTCACAAAGACGAGTGCGCGTTCTGGCACGGGTGCACTGGACGCGTTAACCCGCCAATCACAGGTGACCGTGTCAGCATATTAAAAAATGCTTAATGTTAACAAAACCTAAGGTAAAAAACCTAAAACACATTTTTAATTAACTTAGATGTTCAATCTCCCTCACCCAGAAGCATCCACTAGCGTTCTCACTGCACATCAGCAACGGTAAGTAAGGAGACCGGGAATCTTCATCGATCGAAGTGATTTGGGAACACCCGAAGCCAGTCTAGACGCGATCGCCGAGTGGTACATGATGTCTTGCATGAAGCAGCCGAGAGCGAATCGAGGCCTCGGTCGTGCCATTGCCGACGTGGAATCAGATTTTTCCCTTGTCTTAGCATATACTCTGCAAAAACACTTGGATTGAAATCCCTCTCAACCATCCTATCCTGAAATATTTCCAACACCTTAGACCTTGCTACTCCACCCCTTATTGATTCCAAGAATGGCCTCAAATTGAGTCTTGCTTGTTCATTTAACACCAATCCTTCTCTCAATCCGAATAACTTCGAACTAACCTTTATCTGGTTTGCAAGCTTACAGCTCTGCCCACATCCAGCCTCGCCCACATACGTTGACCTCCCCACAATTTCAAGCAATGGGGACAACCAATTCACCACTATGTCATCCCCATCGGCGAATATGGCCAGTTTCTCCTTCCACCTTTTCTTTTTCTTTTTCAGTTTTTTCTATAAAGTTTCACGAGGCCGTTCCTAGTGATTCTTGACTCCATTTCAGCAAACCGATATATTGGTAACAAAGTTGGTGTTTGCAGACAAAAATATATACTTCTTTTTCCCTTCCCTCTCCAATCTCCACTCAAACTCCATTCACCTGATACGGTCATAACAATAGGAGTGAGTTGGTATGGTCTCCCCATCTCTCTCTCTCTCTCATCAATCAATGGTTATTAATTAGTTTAACCTTAGATCTAGTTCTTTGTTTTTCTTCATTTTGAAGTTTTTCTATTTAAGTTGTTAGATCACCTCTTGATCTACGTTTTGATACAAGTTCTTTTCCTCAATGTCTAGTTTGTGTTACATTCAGTGGTGCATTTGTAGATAAAATGTGTCACCGGTATCATTGCGATCCTTTGTGGTGGAGGATGATTTGACCCGACCTACTGAGACGATGATGCATGGACCTGACTCAGCACGAGCAACAACTCAGCATTATGGTCTGACCACGACTAAGTAACGAGCCTGTAAAGCAGCGCGCTACGTCATAACTCGCTATGAGGGGAGCTCGCTACAACGCGAGCTCCAGGTCCCCCGAGCTACTGAGAAGGGAATACTCCAAGACCATTTTAGCCCGCGAGCTAAGGAAACCAGCTCGCTCCAGCACTTAGGCAGAAAAACTGCCCCAAGGACCGACCTTGATAAGGATCATCTCGAAGTACCCCTAAGAGCTTGCTACAAAGTAGCCTACGGCAAGGATAGCTCGCTACGAAGTAGCTTGCGACTGAGCAACGCGACGTTCTCAGGAAGCTTCTATCTGACAAGACCGTACCGGTCAGACTGCGCCACGTCTCTCGACTGACAGCGCAACCCTTGTCCTTTCGACAGCCTGCACTCACGTCTCTCGACAGATAGAGGCGTGTCTACCCCTTTCAGACGTGTCACTCATCCAAGCGAATAGTACACTTTAACTATCACCTGCGCAGACCTGGCAGGTAACGGCTGCGACAAGAGCCCAGTGGCGGTTACGCCCGATTTGACAAGAACGCCCCTATAAAAGCCTTTTAGGCGAAGGGGAGAGGATACTCTCATACTCACCCTAACACTATCGAATTTTATCTGAACTCGAATTCTTACTTGCTCACGAACACAGTGATTTAGCGCGACCTACACTCTTAGCTTTTTACACTCTTTTCTTCCTCCCCAACGTTCTAACTTAAGCTTTGGAGTATTCCCGCCGGGAAAATCCCCGGGAATCCTTCTTCTTCCTCTTCTCAGGTGTCGTCTATTGCCAGCAAGGAGCCAATCCGCAGTTAGGTAGGAGTGCCTGGATCGTGCCGCATCACTTTGTTTTAAATTTGTTACACCTTACTTTCCAAGTTTCTCTAGTGTCGCCTCACTTTATTTCCTCCAATTTCATCATTTCTCTTCTACCTTTTTTCCCATATCTTTTTATTGTTTTGTCTTTTAGTGGCTGGTTCAACTAATTGGATCACCGTTAACACTGCAACCCCATTAAATCCTTGTTAAATTTATTAAAGTGACATGTTCAATTTTTATTTGTAGGTTCACGGGTTCAATGCACCCACATGTAAACAGAATTTCTCAAAGAGAGAGTAGAGAGTAAGAGTGTTGAAAGTGCTTAAGCTTCAATACCTTTTTCTTGGGGGAGTTAGAGTTCTTTTATGTTGGAGCCCAGTCATACCTGGCATAACCGTCACCGCCCTAGTCGTTACTGCCAGGACAAGCGTGGCAGGTGCAGGTGGTCGCCACACACTACCATCGCCAGGTACGGGCTTGAAAGACGTGTCATGCTTCCCAAAGGCAGCAAACAGAATGCCGCCTAGCAGGCGAAAAGCCACCTGGCAAGGGATCAGAGCCCTGCCACCTAGTCCGGCGGGTACGGATGTTAGGTAGGGCTCCCCACAGCCTATCGGGCTACCGAGCACCGGACTGTCAAGGGCAGGCCTGTCCTGGTACCGAGGTGCTGAGGTGCCGACACCAGGGGCGGGGCTGCCCCGAGGTGCCCGGGGTGCTTCTTCCTCGGGAGGGAAGAGCTCCGGACCCCTTAGGGGGAGTTCGGGCCCTTGGGATAGCTCGGGACCTTCCACACTTGGTGGGAGTCAAAAATTGGCCAAGTTCAGTCCCCGGCAAGTCGCTTAACTCCCCGAGTGGCCAGCGTTGGACTCGGCGTGTCTCTCCCGTCGAGTCGCGGTCGTGCTGTCAGGTTGAGTTGTTCATTGGGCCAGGTCACGTACACGTGTCCCCGGACTACAAGGTCGGGCCAAATCACCCTTCATCAATTGCCCCCCACTCCCCGTGGTGGGGGTGGTGACCCAGCGCGGGGAGTTCATGACGTGTCGGGTGGATTTGGCTTGGTACTTATGCCACCCTATCGGGCGACTCGCTGATCGGACCGGTCTGGCGTTTAGTTCGTTTGGAGAGAAAACCTGAGTCGTGTACGGCTTACGCGCGGATGTCACGCGATCTGGACTTCGCGGACACCAAAAAATGCGCTAAACTGATTTTGCCTTGAGAATCTCGCAGTCGGTTTTCTTGAGGACCGTCAGATTGCCTTGATCCTGGCCGTTGGCGTCCGAGCCCATCGACTATAAATAAAGGGGCACCCTGGCCATTTTCCTTCGCCACTAAGTACCTTTCATCTACCGTGAGCTCGC